ACAACCTGCTTGCTGGGTGCAAAGGAGCAAGTAGGTTCACCTCTCTGAGCCTCTTACATAAGATAGGAGTAATAGTTGCACCAACAAGAAAATTCTTAGCACAGTCCCTAGCACAAAGGAATGGCTCAAGGCAAAGCATCACTATTCCTATCGTCATCCAGGTTTTTTACCTGCTCTGTCTTCCAAATGAGCTCTAAGAGCTGTCCTTCTTGGCTACTTTTCTTGGGTAATTCTTCAGAAAGAGCCTAGTATTTAGCTATACCTTCATTCCAATGTCTGCTTTTCTGCAGGAGTGAGCATCATTTTAAAACTATATATTGCTTCCACCTTTGAGGATGATTTGGCATTCCCTTCCACAGGTGCCATGCATTTTGAGAATGAGAATGATTGAGGTCCAGAATGTCCTCTTGTGTTCTCCATTCTTTAATTGCCCCACTTGGAAGTTGTGTCTTTCTCCCTCTCTTCTCAAATGGCTTATAATTTGCTGCTACACTGATGATTTTAAAGACAAAAATGACGTCTTTCACTAGTGGTAGAGGTTTTGAATAGTAAGGCTGTGCTTTATAAAGATGATCAGTTGTTGAGAGCTCTTAGGTCCAGGTTCCTATGAGGACCTCCTAGCTTGGGCACCTCCACTGATACCCCTAGCACCCTTCAAGGAGAAGTTAGCACCAGCTCATGTTTATAGACTACTTTCCAGGTGGGCTAAAGGCATTCTCATTTAAGCTCACAACTAATTAATGAGACAGGTATAGTGACAATTGAGATCCTTAGATTATTTCTAAGAGGCAAACCATGGGTGACCAAAGCTAACAACTCAAAGACCAACAGACCATCACATCATAAGGGACACAGAGCTCGGTTCTTTCCTCAAATGTCAGAATGACAGCTGTGTGCATGCGCACGCATGCCTATGTAGACTATTAGATTAAGTAGCTAACTTGTGTTCAGAGGCTGCCATATTGCACAAAATGTTCATGAAAAATGCATTTTATGAAAAAACTATGCATGAATTTCAAGAATTTTAGCACCAAGATAAATTTGTACTTTAGTTCCATTTTCCATGATCTTTTTGAAGTTCCTCATATTTGCTTTTAGACAATGGACTCACCCTCTACCAACAAGTTGCTCAGTTTCTGAGAAGTACACAGAGTCTGAGATCAGCTCAGAAAATATGTAATTTCCATCTCCTGTCTCCAGGAAATGGGCACTTTGGCTAGACTATATAGTGAAATCAATAGTGAATAAAATGTATAGCAGAAACAATAGTAATTAAAATACATGGTAGAAATGTAAGGAATAGAATATATGGCACCATCAATAGCAATCACTGAATTTTTTTTATATTTCCCCTTTATCTTGTATATATATGTAGACAAGGCAATTCCTCTGTTTTCCTATTTTACAGATATGGGAACTGAAATTCCGAGATCTTAAATCTTTGCCCAAGATGCACAGCATGGAAATTGTTACATCAGAAATCAAGCCCAGGTCTGCAACTTGCTCAGCTCTAGGTGCCTGACTCACTCACTAACCGAGGAGCCTCTCATAAAAACTATAAAGAAGCTATAAAGAGGCAGCTGAAGGAGTCTCAACTTTTTTTTAAGTGCCAGAGGGCACATGAGAGAGAGACAGAGACAGAGACAGAATCCCCAGTGGGATGTGGTCATGCTGTGATGTCTTCTCTTCCATTTCTCCATCCTGTGGGAACTTCAGGCATGTACATGCAAATATTCAGCATGTTTTTCAAGACCCTGGGGCAGAATTTGAACCACAGTGGGCAATCTGGGATCTGGCTCCTTTGCCCACTGTGCTACAGGGCCAATCCTAACTTTTGGTAGGGACCAATGGGTTAAGAGGAAAGGTGGGTGGAAAGCACTCAACAGCCATGGTCTTTCCCTCAGCAGATCGCTGATGTGGGAAATTGTCTATATTTCAGATTGACTACCAAAATAGGTTTTCATTTGCAAAGACTCAACTGAGCAGCGATGTGGTGTAGACGTATCAATGCCAGGAGTTTTAACGAAAAAACTACTTGTACTCAACATTAGAATTTAAGTCCTCTTCATTGCCCCTCCCACTGGGCTGGTTACCCTAACTAGTGGGGAATTGCCAGCCCTGTCTCTCTCTCCGTATCTCAAACCCTCAGAACTGGGCTTCCTTGTTTACTTATTTAGAACCCAGCAGAGGAAGTGGTAAAGGAAACTAGCTGAGTCGTTTTCTGAGAAGAGACCATATTTGTTAGCAGAGGAAGCCGTTGCTTTCTGGGATCTGGTTACAGCAGAAAAGACATCTGCTCCAATAAGCGTGCTTCAGGGGGCTGCTGGCAGTTGAAAGACCCAAGGACACCTCCAAGCCCTGGATTTGGGGTTCTCAGTCCATGGGTGCATCACCCGGGCTCAGTCCGTGAGCTTCCTCGGGGAGAGCAGCCATGGCGCTGAGGAATGTACCCTTTCGCTCAGATGTCCTAGCCTGGGACACCGACGGCCTTGCCAACTATTTCAAAAAGGTGAGCCTTACTCTTTGGTAGTGGTGGGGCTGATAGTACCCTCAGTGGGCTGGACAGAGGCTGTCTTGGAGATGAAATTCTGACAATGTGAAAGGCATGAAAGATAGCAATGGAACTACCAACTCCACAGCAGCTTTCCTGGTTGAGTGAATGCCATGTAGACCCTGAATGTTCTTGAAAGTGCATTCTGGTGTGAAAGGTGGGCCACAGAGGCCTCAAATGAGTCCGTACCTACTAAATGCCAGGGTCCGAATCTGGTGCTCCATAGTGCTCCATGGGCACTGCCCCTTGAATGCTCCCTACTGTCTTATGAGGTCAATGATATTCCCTGGGCTCAGCCACAGAAGTAGCTCAGGGAGGTTAAATGCCCCAAAGCCCCAGAGACTACAGGCCGTAGATGCAGGATTCGAGTCGCACCCTTCTGGTTTCAAAGTCCATGCTCTGAGATGCAGAGAACTGCTGTAACCACTGAAATGAAGGCTACCTATGAGAAAAGGAGACATGAGTGCTGGGGTAAAAGAGAGAACAGGCAGGCGGCGGGGAGGGATAGAGGGCTGTGATGAATAATGCCTCATAGGGCCATGGGCATGCATTGCCCATGACCCTGGAAGAGGGGTCCTCCAGGATTGACAGAGGACAGAGTTCCACTGGGGCATGAGAGTCTTGTGAGGAAGGCCAGAAAACTTTGATGAGGCTCAGTTGATAACTAGGGACACTGAGGTCCCAGAAAGGAGAGGCTTAGCCAGGCAGAGTCAAAGACCAGGCTGTGGCAAAGCAGAGACCAGAGTCCTGTCTATTAGGCTTGGAGGAGATGATCAAGGATCTGGGCTAATTGGCTGGTGGTGTGGCCAGGCCAGATCTAAAGCCACATAACTTGGTTAGGGACCCTCTGGATCCAGTAGATGAGGTGACATGTGAGGGACGTTTGTGCTAACACTCCCATCTTTGGAGGTTGTTGTCAAATTCAGCGACTACTCCAGATTGCCATTATGATGAGTTTGTAGAGCTAAGACCGTAGAAACCATGGAGTTCGGCTCGTTAATATTCCTGGGGGGAAATAAGATTCAAGGGAGTGGAGCAGGCTCTCTGAGACACGTGGAGAAACCCAAGACCTGGGACCTACTCAGGACCACGGGGTTTACAGTCGCGATTCTGAAACGTGGCTGTGCTGGGCCGGGTGTGGTACCAGAGGGGCACGGCCCACAGATCCTGTTATTTGCTGCTTTTTGTGTATTTCATTTCTGTAATTTTCTCTCCACAAGGTCATAATAACCTTAGCTTTCAGCATTGTGGGTGCAAAGCTCACTGCATGACTGACTTCTGAAGAATGTTTTTAAATACTTTTCTTACATGTAGAATGAATTACGGCAACAAGGTGAGATTTGCCCAGACAGAATAAAGTAGGGTGTGACTTCAATAATGAAAGGAGAAAGGAGCTGTGAATTATGAAGGGAAAGCCTGGAGACAGGCTGAGAGGCAAAGACAGGCCTCATCTTCAAGTGGAGCATGAGAATTGCACGACCCAGCTGAGAAACGGAGAAGCTGGGGTGAAGTTCCCATCAGTATGGGGAGATGCACCACATCGGGCAGGGATGGCTCAGGAAACTCTCTCTGGCTGAGTTGAGGGCAAGGAGACTTTTTTCTTAGAGAGCCTAGACCCCAGGACAAAGCCACAGTGCTGAGACAAGTTCCCCCTTGCAGCATAAAAGGACCGAGGGCAGGAACGTGGAGTCTGCGGCCCTAGAAGTCCCAGAGTCCTACAGACTCCAATAGGGACTCTTCAGATCCTGAGCACCTCAGTCCCCCATAGAGAAAATATAAAGTGAACTGGTCATGGAGTCATTTGGGGGTGGATTTTAGCAATCAAGTATGCCATTTAATGGACTGATCAACAGGTGTACTTTCTGCTGAAGCAGAGGGGTCAGGACACCCTGGAGACTCCTCCACACCAGCTCTGGAGGCAGACACACCTTAGTTTGAATCCTAGCTCTGCCATTGGCTCCCTTGGTGAACTTCTCTTAGTTATTTCTCCTCTTGTGCCTCAACTTCCTTATCAATAACCTAGAGATACGCCTAGTAACTAAGCAAATGGGGTCGTTTTGAGGATTCGAGGAAACAACATACACAGGCATTCCGCATACGGGGGTGGGAGGCCTAAATAATGTTTGATCTTCCCTTTTCCTGTCCAATCCACTAGCCCCTGGGGATGCCCACGCAGACTGGCTAGCCTTCAGGTCCTACTGCCTCAGACACGTGTGTCTCACCTCTGGAATGGAAACTGTACACAGAGTCTGAGATCAGCTCAGAAAATATGTAATTTCCATCTCCTGTCTCCAGGAAATGGGCACTTTGGCTAGACTATATAGTGAAATCAATAGTGAATAAAATGTATAGCAGAAACAATAGTAATTAAAATACATGGTAGAAATGTAAGGAATAGAATATATGGCACCATCAATAGCAATCACTGAATTTTTTTTATATTTCCCCTTTATCTTGTATATATATGTAGACAAGGCAATTCCTCTGTTTTCCTATTTTACAGATATGGGAACTGAAATTCCGAGATCTTAAATCTTTGCCCAAGATGCACAGCATGGAAATTGTTACATCAGAAATCAAGCCCAGGTCTGCAACTTGCTCAGCTCTAGGTGCCTGACTCACTCACTAACCGAGGAGCCTCTCATAAAAACTATAAAGAAGCTATAAAGAGGCAGCTGAAGGAGTCTCAACTTTTTTTTAAGTGCCAGAGGGCACATGAGAGAGAGACAGAGACAGAGACAGAATCCCCAGTGGGATGTGGTCATGCTGTGATGTCTTCTCTTCCATTTCTCCATCCTGTGGGAACTTCAGGCATGTACATGCAAATATTCAGCATGTTTTTCAAGACCCTGGGGCAGAATTTGAACCACAGTGGGCAATCTGGGATCTGGCTCCTTTGCCCACTGTGCTACAGGGCCAATCCTAACTTTTGGTAGGGACCAATGGGTTAAGAGGAAAGGTGGGTGGAAAGCACTCAACAGCCATGGTCTTTCCCTCAGCAGATCGCTGATGTGGGAAATTGTCTATATTTCAGATTGACTACCAAAATAGGTTTTCATTTGCAAAGACTCAACTGAGCAGCGATGTGGTGTAGACGTATCAATGCCAGGAGTTTTAACGAAAAAACTACTTGTACTCAACATTAGAATTTAAGTCCTCTTCATTGCCCCTCCCACTGGGCTGGTTACCCTAACTAGTGGGGAATTGCCAGCCCTGTCTCTCTCTCCGTATCTCAAACCCTCAGAACTGGGCTTCCTTGTTTACTTATTTAGAACCCAGCAGAGGAAGTGGTAAAGGAAACTAGCTGAGTCGTTTTCTGAGAAGAGACCATATTTGTTAGCAGAGGAAGCCGTTGCTTTCTGGGATCTGGTTACAGCAGAAAAGACATCTGCTCCAATAAGCGTGCTTCAGGGGGCTGCTGGCAGTTGAAAGACCCAAGGACACCTCCAAGCCCTGGATTTGGGGTTCTCAGTCCATGGGTGCATCACCCGGGCTCAGTCCGTGAGCTTCCTCGGGGAGAGCAGCCATGGCGCTGAGGAATGTACCCTTTCGCTCAGATGTCCTAGCCTGGGACACCGACGGCCTTGCCAACTATTTCAAAAAGGTGAGCCTTACTCTTTGGTAGTGGTGGGGCTGATAGTACCCTCAGTGGGCTGGACAGAGGCTGTCTTGGAGATGAAATTCTGACAATGTGAAAGGCATGAAAGATAGCAATGGAACTACCAACTCCACAGCAGCTTTCCTGGTTGAGTGAATGCCATGTAGACCCTGAATGTTCTTGAAAGTGCATTCTGGTGTGAAAGGTGGGCCACAGAGGCCTCAAATGAGTCCGTACCTACTAAATGCCAGGGTCCGAATCTGGTGCTCCATAGTGCTCCATGGGCACTGCCCCTTGAATGCTCCCTACTGTCTTATGAGGTCAATGATATTCCCTGGGCTCAGCCACAGAAGTAGCTCAGGGAGGTTAAATGCCCCAAAGCCCCAGAGACTACAGGCCGTAGATGCAGGATTCGAGTCGCACCCTTCTGGTTTCAAAGTCCATGCTCTGAGATGCAGAGAACTGCTGTAACCACTGAAATGAAGGCTACCTATGAGAAAAGGAGACATGAGTGCTGGGGTAAAAGAGAGAACAGGCAGGCGGCGGGGAGGGATAGAGGGCTGTGATGAATAATGCCTCATAGGGCCATGGGCATGCATTGCCCATGACCCTGGAAGAGGGGTCCTCCAGGATTGACAGAGGACAGAGTTCCACTGGGGCATGAGAGTCTTGTGAGGAAGGCCAGAAAACTTTGATGAGGCTCAGTTGATAACTAGGGACACTGAGGTCCCAGAAAGGAGAGGCTTAGCCAGGCAGAGTCAAAGACCAGGCTGTGGCAAAGCAGAGACCAGAGTCCTGTCTATTAGGCTTGGAGGAGATGATCAAGGATCTGGGCTAATTGGCTGGTGGTGTGGCCAGGCCAGATCTAAAGCCACATAACTTGGTTAGGGACCCTCTGGATCCAGTAGATGAGGTGACATGTGAGGGACGTTTGTGCTAACACTCCCATCTTTGGAGGTTGTTGTCAAATTCAGCGACTACTCCAGATTGCCATTATGATGAGTTTGTAGAGCTAAGACCGTAGAAACCATGGAGTTCGGCTCGTTAATATTCCTGGGGGGAAATAAGATTCAAGGGAGTGGAGCAGGCTCTCTGAGACACGTGGAGAAACCCAAGACCTGGGACCTACTCAGGACCACGGGGTTTACAGTCGCGATTCTGAAACGTGGCTGTGCTGGGCCGGGTGTGGTACCAGAGGGGCACGGCCCACAGATCCTGTTATTTGCTGCTTTTTGTGTATTTCATTTCTGTAATTTTCTCTCCACAAGGTCATAATAACCTTAGCTTTCAGCATTGTGGGTGCAAAGCTCACTGCATGACTGACTTCTGAAGAATGTTTTTAAATACTTTTCTTACATGTAGAATGAATTACGGCAACAAGGTGAGATTTGCCCAGACAGAATAAAGTAGGGTGTGACTTCAATAATGAAAGGAGAAAGGAGCTGTGAATTATGAAGGGAAAGCCTGGAGACAGGCTGAGAGGCAAAGACAGGCCTCATCTTCAAGTGGAGCATGAGAATTGCACGACCCAGCTGAGAAACGGAGAAGCTGGGGTGAAGTTCCCATCAGTATGGGGAGATGCACCACATCGGGCAGGGATGGCTCAGGAAACTCTCTCTGGCTGAGTTGAGGGCAAGGAGACTTTTTTCTTAGAGAGCCTAGACCCCAGGACAAAGCCACAGTGCTGAGACAAGTTCCCCCTTGCAGCATAAAAGGACCGAGGGCAGGAACGTGGAGTCTGCGGCCCTAGAAGTCCCAGAGTCCTACAGACTCCAATAGGGACTCTTCAGATCCTGAGCACCTCAGTCCCCCATAGAGAAAATATAAAGTGAACTGGTCATGGAGTCATTTGGGGGTGGATTTTAGCAATCAAGTATGCCATTTAATGGACTGATCAACAGGTGTACTTTCTGCTGAAGCAGAGGGGTCAGGACACCCTGGAGACTCCTCCACACCAGCTCTGGAGGCAGACACACCTTAGTTTGAATCCTAGCTCTGCCATTGGCTCCCTTGGTGAACTTCTCTTAGTTATTTCTCCTCTTGTGCCTCAACTTCCTTATCAATAACCTAGAGATACGCCTAGTAACTAAGCAAATGGGGTCGTTTTGAGGATTCGAGGAAACAACATACACAGGCATTCCGCATACGGGGGTGGGAGGCCTAAATAATGTTTGATCTTCCCTTTTCCTGTCCAATCCACTAGCCCCTGGGGATGCCCACGCAGACTGGCTAGCCTTCAGGTCCTACTGCCTCAGACACGTGTGTCTCACCTCTGGAATGGAAACTCCTGAGGACTGAGATGCCATTGGCATTTCTCTAACCCCTCTGATTCCTTTTGACTTGGCAGAGCATATCCTGGGAAGTGCAGTGGACAGGCGCTGGCTCAGGGCCACATGCTCTTGTTACGGCTGCTCTCCCAACTCTCTGTGTGACGTTGGGTTTGTTTCTTTCCCTCTCTGGGCCTCAGCTGTCCCATCTACAAAGCCAGGGACCTGCTCTAATGGTTGTCATAAAATCATTTAAAGTGCTCAGTAAAAATACAGATTCTAGGCCAGCACGCCCATATCTTACTGAATCAGGATCAAATATCTACATCCCAATCTCCAGAGCCATCCGTAGATCTAGAGTCAGAGTCAGCACTTTGAAAACTCAGAGATCGATCTGATAATGATAACAATGAAGATGATGGCTTTCAGGCAGTTAATTATTCCAAGAACTGCTCACACCCCGCTGCACATAATGAAAGGGGCGCCAGGGTTCCGCAGGGGCTAAGGGCTCTCAACACTGACCTCTAAACCAGCTTTCTGGGTGTGACATTCATTCCACCCTTCCAACCAAAAGGTTATAGTTGTACACACTTTTCAAACATGTTGTTCATAACATGAGAAGATGGTAAATTTGCTCCCAAAGAATACTGCCACAAACTGTGTGGCCCATACTGGTGGGGAGAGCCTGGGGTCCTTTCTGAACTCAGTTCAACCTTAAATGCTCCAGACCCAAACGTCAACCCAGAGGTATAGCAAATGAAGTATGTTGTTAAGTACATCATATGGTAGGTAGTTGATTGTTTTAGGAAAATAGCCAGACTCTAAAAGTGCTCATTCCTGGGGCCAGCAGGTGACATAGTGGTTAAAGTGTTGGACTCCCACATGGCTCACTATGGTTCAAGTCCTGGACCTGGTGGCTTGAAAATCACACCAGGTGCTACCAGAAGACAGTATAATCGTTACGTTGCTGGACTCCCACCTAGTCAACAACAGTACAAGCCCTGGACTCAGTGGCTTCAAACTCATGCCAGGCACATGTGTGTGTGTGCCCAAGATCCCGAGAAGAGAGTGGAGGAGAAGAGATTGCAGCAAACCCATTCCCCTAGGAGATGATCTCTCACTTTCTCTCTACAGAGAATTCACATACCCTATGGCAACCTAAGCAAACAAACAAAAAAAGTGCTCATTCCTGTGGATTCTATAACTTTATTTAGAGAATCTTATTAAACAATTTATCATAAATAGGGAGAAAGAAAATCATGCAAAACAATATTTGTGATGTTCTAGAATTTTATGTGGATGGTATAACAAGCTGTATTTGCATTTGTTTAATTTATTCTCTGTATGTAAATAATGCTGTTATTAAAAAGGAAACATTCTTGACAGGGACATTAAGACTTGTTCCCAAGTCTGATTGTCACCTGCCACCTACAACCCACGCACATTATCTGACTCTGTGACTTTCATTCCCTGCAAACTGTGAGGACTAAATGACCCGAGTGTTGGTTAAAATACTGGGAACAGTGCCTGCCCTATAGGAAGCATTCACTGGCTGTTAACAGTTTCTATTATCATTACTGGGACAGCAGTTTGGCAAACAACCTAAATGTTCACCAGTAAGGAAGTGATTGAGTAATGTTGCAGCCACTGAAATAATATTTAAAATAAGTTTTCAGTAACACTAGGCAGTGCTCATATTGTTTTGGGTATTTTAAGAGAAGAAAGTCAGGATAACAAGATCGAATATAAATTATACCTTCTGTTATATGTAGAACCATGCCAGACAAGGATCCTTAGAAAGGCCATCACGATGTTGGCAGAGGTTGCCTTTGGGCCGTGAGACAATAGATGGCACTTTTGTTCCTCTTTTGGCCCCTCTCTCCTTCCCTGAAGAGCTGATAGCCAGCCTCCCATACCTTGAAGGCAATGTCTTTCCAGACGGGTTGGCCCCAAAGCCTTTGAGCAAGGCAATGTCTCTATTCAGGCACTTCAAAGGGGTAGGGAGAGCAGGGATCAGGGCTGCGGCCCCTCTGTTAGAAAGGGTGGGGCACAGTAGTCTGGCTAGCCAGAAGTACCGCAAATTGCTAAGCTTCTGGGTCAGGCAAGGAGGGACCAACAGCCTGAGCCTGCCTGTCACTGACTGTACCTTCCCCTTCGCTTTGCAGCTGAACTTCAAGGACTGCGAAAAGGCAGTGAAGAAGTACCACATTGATGGGGCTCGGTTTTTGGTAAGCTCTGGCCAGTCTAGCACATTGAAATCTGGGATGTTCTATACTTTTCCCAATGGCTACGGGGCCAACTGGTCTACCCCGTTCCTGGTGATGCCCAGGGTCAATGCTTATCTTCAAAATTCCATGCTTCTTTGTCTTCTCTAGAGGTTTGGTAGGGCCCCCTTTCTCACCATCTCTCAGGATCCTCCTCTTCAGAGCCTCTCTCAGATCATTCATTGATACTGAGGTACACCCCAAATCAGAGAAGGAGGAATACAACACTTAAAACAAACTTGGAAAATCTATTCAAATGTCATTCACACCTTGAGAACTCTGGAATTAAGAAAAAAGCCCATATAGAACAGAAGATTCTCACCCCTACCCCCTCATTTCTCACTCTGAGGTATACATTCCCTGAGTAGAATAAACAATAGTGGGCCAGCTAGTGGTGTGGTGGTTAAGACAGCTGGATCCCACATGGTAGACTGCACAATTCAAATCTCAACTCAGGGGCTTGAAAACCATGTAGGTGTTTATGTGTGTGGCATGCTCAAAAATCTCGAAAGGAGAAATGAAGGAGAAGGGATTGTGGCATGGCCATCCTCCATGAGGAGTGCTTTCTCATTTTCCTTCTCTCTGTCTTTCTCTGGCAAGTGTATGTGCCTTCTGCCAAATTAAAAAATCCTTTAAAAAAAGGGTGGAATCTTTGTTTCAATTACTTCCCTCTTTGTCACTACTAAATGCATATAATTAATTTTGTGTTAAATACATGCATCATGGTTCTCTCCATTTCATTATAATGCAAAAAGTTTGAAGTGTATGACCAAGTTGCAGGGGTATATTAAGGACCAAGCTATTCAGAGGCTAGGGATGCAGCTCTAATAGTAGAGACAGAGGCACTAGGCTCTGGTCGGGAAGTGGTTTGAACATTTCCCTTGAAATGACACCTTCATCTGTGGGCTAGAGAGACTCCGACTGAACCAGTCACACCTATGGGTGTTTTGCTTCACTCTTTAAAAAAGAAGTGGAAACAAGACTTAGAGGGGTCTCGGAGGGGCAGATGTTCCCAGTCTGGATTCAGAGTGAGGATGGCAAGCTAAGCTGTATCTCACTGTAAGTCACAACTAGTAAGAAAACTTAACCAGGAGACTTAAGGCCACTTGTAAGGGACTGGAAAGGCCACATGCTTGCCACCCAGGCACCAATCCATTTCCTGTAGTGCATCCCCATCACCAGCACTGAGTGAATTGTTTCAGTGATCGTGAACGCACTCACTCGTGCTCATCTGCTCCTTTCTGGGCAACTTGGAAGTCTCACATTGAGACTAATACCTATGTTCCTATTGATTTGTGTTTTGCTTTTAGGTCCATATGAGACATGTATGTTCACTGTCTTACATCATTTAGTCTTCACCTATCCATTCACTTGACAAAGGTTTTCTCGAACTCCTTTCACATACTGGGTCATGCCACATTGTGGGGATAGAGAAGTAAATATGGTGTGATTTTTGCTCTTTGCAACCTTGTTTTATAGCAGGAAGGTTCTTGGGAAGACCTCTAACCACCTCATTTGCAGATGAGGAAATTCATGCAGAGGTGTGATATCATTTGCACTATGTCACGGACCTAGTAATTGGACTAAAGCAGACACTCAACTTAGTCTAATACTGTGAGTTTTTAACAATGGCATTTATTCATACCAAGCTTTGAGTCAATAGAATCCCCGGAGTTTTGTTGTTGCTGTTCTTGCAAATTACTACTAAACCTGAATATTTCATATTGGTGACTTTATCACATGAGAATAGAGACTTCTCAAGGTTTAGTGGGAAGGAAGGAAGCCACCCTTCAGGGAAGTCCTGGTTGTGGCCCTGTTACTCTGGGCCACCCTGAGCAAGCACTTGCCCTCCCTAAGTCTCCATTTGTTCCCTCCTGTGTTGACTAAGAATGCTGGACTGGGTCACAGTGGGTGACAGCTGTCCCAGCTTTGAGTTCCCCCAACACTTCCCATATGAGCCTCAGGTCTATAGAACAAGGTTGTTTCCTTGGTTAGTTATTGTCAAGGATGTTCCTTCGTTCCCAAGCAACTATGTCTCCACTGCTCCAATCCCTGGGGCTTATCAGTCCCTCAGAGAATGTGGCATGTTCTGCTTCTCCCATGAGCAGGAGGAAGTGGAAAGAGGAGTGATGGGAGCCAGGTGAGCAGGCAGCAGAATCCAGTACCTGACCCATCAATGTGGGTATTTAAGGCAATTTCTGTTGAAACCCACCCTCCACCACTGGTCTCTGGGTAAATTTGGGACTCTAATTTGGGACTTAGTCTAAACTCTACTCACTCGCTTGCCACTCCTTCCAGCTCTGGTCTTCTGGATCATTATGCTACTGGAGTTTGTGGGCTCTAAAAAATGATAACCCAACGTACAGGTCTTAGAAGCAGTTTCTCTCCGACCTTCTCTTGCCCACTTGTATCTTATCTCTCATTTTACCCACAAGACAAACCATAGAAACGAGACTTTCTATTCCCTAAGGTGGTTTGTAGAAACCAGAACACCATTTTCCCCAGAGCCAGCCATGAAATCTAAAAAATGTCATGCTTTAACTTTCCCCCACCTTTCTGTGTAAGTCATAAAGAAATTCTCTCACCTACCTTGTCTGATAGGACCCTCATATAGGGGGGTCCTGCCTCATTTCCGGGAGAAGGGGATGCTGTGCATCAGCCTAGAAGGATCTAAGCAGATAGCACTCTCTGGACTTCTCTGCTTGGTCTGTTTTCATTATCCATACGCAAAAGTGGAAGACCCTCCTCCACCTTCTCTTCCCTCCCCACCTCTCCTTGTCTCCCTTTCTTCTTTCTTCCTTCCTTTCTTCTTGCTTAGAATAGGAGTTAGTAAGCCCCTTGATTTTGTCTTGCTGTCATTTTGTTTCCCATTGAGGATAAAATCTTGTCTGATGGAGAATGGTAGTGTGTGCTTTCTAAAAACGTAAAAAGAAGTCCAGCAGGTGGCATAGGGATTAAGGCACTGGATCTCACATGGCCAACTCTGAGGTTCAAGTCCTAGACCTAGTGGCCAGAAAAGCACACTGGGTTCCTGTGTGTGTGTGCCCAAAAATCCCAAGAGGAGAACGAAGGAGGAAGAATTGCAACATAAGCAACCCCCAGGGGTAATTTCTCATTTTCCCCTCTGCTACCTCTCTCTGGCTAGCACATACACTCTATGACAGAAAGAAAAAAAAAAAAAAGAAGAAGAAAAAAAAGAAAAGAAAACACTTTAAAAAAAAAAAAAAAAGAAAACGTAAAATGACTGTTTTCATTATCCATACGCAAAAGTGGAAGACCCTCCTCCACCTTCTCTTCCCTCCCCACCTCTCCTTGTCTCCCTTTCTTCTTTCTTCCTTCCTTTCTTCTTGCTTAGAATAGGAGTTAGTAAGCCCCTTGATTTTGTCTTGCTGTCATTTTGTTTCCCATTGAGGATAAAATCTTGTCTGATGGAGAATGGTAGTGTGTGCTTTCTAAAAACGTAAAAAGAAGTCCAGCAGGTGGCATAGGGATTAAGGCACTGGATCTCACATGGCCAACTCTGAGGTTCAAGTCCTAGACCTAGTGGCCAGAAAAGCACACTGGGTTCCTGTGTGTGTGTGCCCAAAAATCCCAAGAGGAGAACGAAGGAGGAAGAATTGCAACATAAGCAACCCCCAGGGGTAATTTCTCATTTTCCCCTCTGCTACCTCTCTCTGGCTAGCACATACACTCTATGACAGAAAGAAAAAAAAAAAAAAGAAGAAGAAAAAAAAGAAAAGAAAACACTTTAAAAAAAAAAAAAAAAGAAAACGTAAAATGAGGAAGGAATATGCTCTAGACTTGTTGTCAAGGCATGTGGCTGCATGTTACAGAAACTTGACCATAGTGGCTTAACCAAATGGAGGTTAGTCTTCCTCAGTAAAAAGATAACCACAGGGATGTCTAGCTGCTAAAGAAAGTCATCAGTCTTCACCTAATCTATGGAAAAAGCCCGTGAATTTTGTCCAGTAGTTGCAAGTTGGCTATTTCACCTCCAGACATTGCCTCTGCATTACAAGCAGAAGAAGGTTAGAAAGGCAAAGATTAAAGGAGCATGATTGATGTGTCCTCCCCCAAGTCCTAACCCCTTTTTTTTTAATTCAGAAAAGTAGTACTTTTTCTAGAAGCTGCATCCAATAGACTTCTTGGAAACATTACTACCCACGGGCCTTTACAGGCCCAGCTAGAAGCTGCTCTCCCTGGAGGCTGGGGTACTCCAGTTGGCTACAGTCACTACTGCTCTCTATTGTTTTACACACAACCCCACTCCCAGCTCAGAGCCCTTTCTGGGGCGTTGTAACCTGCCATGTGTGTCTTCATTTCAGAACCTGACAGAAAATGACATCCAGAAGTTCCCCAAGCTCCGAGTGCCGTAAGTACTCCTTGAACTCCTTGGATATTTGGGGGGAACAAAGGTTGAAATGAGGAGCGGTCCAGGGAGAGCTCAGTCAGTCATTTGTCACCTTGTTTGATATAGCAAAGCAAGAAGGAAAGGTGAAGGCAAGGGTAGGGCATGGGAAGAGAAGTTACAAGAGCAGTTGGAAAAAGGAAGTAGCAGCTCTAGTCCAGCTGGTGGGGTGGATGTTCTTTCCAAAGATAAGCCCAACTCTGGACCACATTTTCATTTTCTCTCTGCACAAAGGGTGGCTCAGCCCTGTGAAAATAGTCCCAGAGTCAAGAGACCTGAGGTTTCATCATTGTATTATCATCGACTCACTGATGGCCTGAGTTTTCTGGACCTTCATTTCCAGCTCAGTAAAATGAGAGCTGAACAAGATGGAAGATGACAATGGATGCCATTTTGTCTGTCAGTACTGACTGCTTGGGGAAGGCTGGCAGGGGTGTTGTGTTGAGGAGTCCTGAGGAAAGGGATCCATGATTGATTACTGATGTCTGTCGCGGGTGCCAAATGGGAAGCTGCAGTATGCATATCATGCCATGTATTTTTTTCATGCCTCTAATAAAGGTCTCACATGCTCAAATACCTACAGGAGCCGGGCAGTTAACACAAATGTGCAAAATGGGCCAAATTGAAAACAAAAAAGCCTTATTGATTGATTTTTCATTTTACTATCTTTAAATAAAGGAATGGATGCTTTAAATAAAGGTAGTAAAATGAAAATAAATAAAATAAAGGTATAGAGAAATAAAACAAAAGCGTAGAGAAAGATTTTTTCTACTATAAAAAAATTGCACAGTTATGATAATAAAGAAGTAACGGATACAATGCCTCATTGTTGATAAATAATATGGACTGGTGGGGATTGTGGAAAATCAGGTATTATGGGCTCTATTCAAAGAATGCAGATTACCAGACTTCGGTAGATGTGGAGTCAACAACGTTCAATCTTTGAATTCATCAAGAGTAATTCAAAATATGAGTTGTATGTGCTATATCTCAATTTTTAAATGTTGACTCAAATATTTTTAAATATTGTGGAAGCCAAAGTAAACATATCTATGAACTAGGTTCAGCCTGGACATTAGTTTGAGACCTCTACTCTGGACATCTCTGAGGTGCCTTTCTCTAACTCTAAGGGCTTCAGGGCTCATAATGATGAAGAAGTAAATCAAAGAGAAAGAGGTTGGGCAATCTCATGAGCAAATGGGATGTAAGAATAACTTGATTAAGGAAAATGTTTTTAGCCTGACTATCAAGTTTACTTTGTCTAGAATGGTGAAGGAAAAGAGAGGAGCAAAGGTTGCCTTTGGTGCTGCCCATCTCCAGGGACAGTACTGAACACTGTTTAGTCTCTCTAAAGATTTTTTCTAACCATATGTGGCTATTTAAATTTAATTTAAAATTCAATTTCTCAGAGGTACTAGCCACATTTAAATAGCTACATATAGAGGATGACTAGCATTGGGTTGTCAGAAAAGTCACGACGTATTTTTCCTGTTTTTCTATGCAAAGTGCCTCATGACTTTCCTGACAACCCAATATATTGGAAAGTACAGCTATAGAATATTTTCATGATGACAGACAAATCATAGTTCTACATGGAGAAGAAACCTTAATATACAGGGTCAGAATTGGCGACCTGTGGGCCCGCAGACTCAGCCTGTAAGTTTGTTATCTTTGGTCTATATTGTGTTTTAAAAGTTTCACAAAATCTAGCTTCCTTAGAAACAAATGAAAGCTGTGTTCATCCCAAGCACAAATTCTACCGTAGCAACAGTCAGCTGGATCGGTTGTCTTCTACCCCGTTTAGATGGCATTGTGCTTTCCAGTTCACCATGGTCCCTACCACTCTCCAGGGGATTGACCTAAGGTGCATCAGTCATTTATGTCACATGCATGGAGACTTTGGCTTTCTGACCCAGATGAAGTAACAGAGATCAAATCTTCCATCCAAACCAACCAGATAAAATATATGAAACAGCAGCTTTCAACACACTGGGTATCAGACAAGGAGGGATGGAAAAAAAGGATGATGACTCTTTTGACTGCTCATCATTTTCATGGACTCTTTAGACCATATAAGAAAAAATGAATGCAACAGAGTCTGGTGAACTCCTTGAAAGAACTACCCATAGGGTTAGAAAAAACAGTAGCTGACCACAGGACTATAAATTGTGCCTTTTTCCACCAGTGAGGCTGGAAACCTCTAGATCCAGACACTGGGTGGAGTGTGAAAGGATCTTCTTTCAGTAGTGGGCATTAATTAGCCCTAGTCTAAAAACCGTTCTGGAAATGCCTAACAATTCTCAAAATCAAGACCCAAAAGAATCAAACTATTTCCAAGTAACTTAACTGGATCCTCAAAAAAATAGTTTAAAATATCTATAGAAATGAAAAATAATTATTACCTACAAAAGTAAAATTCACATTAGTAAGCATCTAATGTAAGAGTAACAGGCATGCAAATCAGCAGAAAAAAAACATGACTTGCAATAAGGAGAAAAACCAACACATCAAAACTAACCCATAACTGTCACAGATATTAGATACATTACATACAGAGGAACAGATATAAGGATGACAGTAGATGTCTAGTCAAAATAATGTAAGTTAAAAGAGAGTGGTACGATGTTGTAAATACTGGAAGAAAAATATTGTCAGTCTAGAGTTTAATATCTGGTAAAAATGTCTTTCAAAAATGAAGGTGACATACTTTTTCAGACATACAAAATCTGAGAGAATTCCTCACCAGCTGATGTGCACTACAACAAATGTTAAAGAAATCCCTTAAGGCAGAAAGAAAATGGTACCAGATTTAATCTGGTTCTATGTAAAGAAATGAAGAATGCCATGAATGATGATGGGTCTAGACATGCAGCGGAACTCCGAAAAGTTTGTGAAAATGGAATGAAAGGATGAGTTTATTTTGGGGAAAATATTTTTTGAAATCCATACATAGTTATGTTTATAATATACATGCATTTTCCACAAATTTTTTGAAGATTCTATGTATAATTGGCTCTTGAAGTCACTTGAGTTTGCATTTCCTGGTTCTTATGTATGATTAATATTCTGTTCATTTTGAGAACTCCTACTGCATACTTAAAATATGTCAGGACTTTGTTAATTACTCAAGCTGCAGAGATGGGAACTAAATTCTCACCCTCGGGACACTCATTTTCTAATGGGAGGGTCAGATATATGAACAAAGCAATTCTACTGCATTTATAACAGTGCTATGGTACATGTATAAACAAGTTCAGTGGAAGTAAGAAGGCAAGAGTGATTCTCTGTACAGTATTCAGGGAAGATTTTAAGGGAGGAAGAGACCCAAAGTTAAATTTTACAATATGCCGGAAGCTGATTGCAGGACATTCTAGCAATGGGGAGCACATTGCAAATATATGAGGCACCAGCATGTTCGGTGGGACCTCCTATGGGTCAAAGTTGGACATATGCTTGGAGAAGTGGAAAGCGAGGAAGTTAGAAGACTGTGCCTGGGGCAAGGAAGGGTGGTGCACCCTTTATAAAGGCCCCATAAGCTATGTTAAGCAGTCTGAGGGTGTTAGTGAATTGCATGTGTCAAGGAGACTATCAAGGTAAACCTGGGTGTTAGATGAGTCCAGAACAGTGGAAATGATGATTTAGAGGAGGGGCCAGCTGAGCGCATGGGACCGAGTTAGGAGACAGTGGGCATCATCCCACTAAAGAGGTAGAAGACTCTCCCAGGGATGCAACCAAGAAGACGAGAATACAGGGGATTTAATCTTAGCAGTAGAAGGGCAGAGCTCTTTCAGTTTGAAGACCTTTCTTCATATTAAGGCTGGGAAGTACTTAGAGGTGAGAAGTGGCTGCTAGTTACACGGAAGGGATCATTACTATTATCACCATTATCATTATCATTTTAGTTTGCCAGAAACACACACACACACACACACACACACAGAGAGAGAGAGAGAGAGAGAGAGAGAGAGAGAGAAAGTGAGAAAGCACCTCCCTGGAGGTATGACCACACCACAATCCCTCCTCCTCCATTCTCTTCTTGGGATTTTGGACATGCACACACAGGTCCCAGCATGCTTTACAAGCTAATGGGTTCAGGAGTTGAACCATGTAGTCAGTCATGTGGGATCCAGCCATCTTAATTACCACTGTAATGATCTGCTCTGAGAATCATAAACATTCATGTTGTGAGCAGGGTAGGGATACAATATTTCCTTAGCTATTTGTTTTCCAAAATGAAACCTTGGCCTCTGGGAAAACCCCTCCAATCCATTTTAATGTGTACCCCAGATCAATGAGAAAGCCTGGTTCTGAAGCTAAGGGTTAACATGAGGAAAGATGAGAAAGACATCCAAGAAAAACCAGGCCAGGCTAATTGGATGACTTACAAATTTACTGTCTAGCCAGAAATATATAACATGTACCTTTTCCAGCTCTCCTTCTGAAGAACTGAGTGACTGCTTGAAACCCAGTTCTTCTCATCTCTAGACGTGAGGCTGTGGACAAGTTATCTCAGCTCCCAGAGCCTCAGCTTCTCATCTGTAAAAGGGGTTAATAACAGAACCGACCTGAAAAGGTTGTTGGAAAAATTGGGGGAAATAATAAGCATTGAATCAAGGTTAGCTATTCTATGAGTCTATGCCAAATCGCAGTCAGCACACTTTCAAGTTTTGACTAATTATTCTGTCCTGCTTGAAAGAGGGGAGTCAAGACTAGGTGAGGGAGATCCAGGTTAAGGAGCTGACTGTCTCCTACTAGATGTGGGACTTTGGGAAGGTCATTTCAACAGTGTGAGCCTCGGTGTCCTCACCTTTAGAAGGGGACAGAGCTAACTTATAGGGAGTGGGAAACACTGAGAGGAGGCAGCCCACACGAATTCCCTGTTGACATCTTTGACTCATAGAAATACTCGATACTTATTCATTCCCTTCCCTTGTACATAGGTTGTCTTGTTTTGAGCATTACCCTAGGGGGCTATGGAAATGAAATTGTGTTTATGTACAGCAGACTGAAACAAGATTATAATCCTCTGAATATCCCTATATTCTTCCACAATGCCTAAAAAAAGTCAATATTAAATAGATTTTGTAAGAAGGCAGATTCTGGTGAGGAAACCTTTCTCTATTTGCAAATGTAGTCATCCTCTCAGGACATGGTTGATCTCAAGACATCCCAAAATTGTAATAGAGGAGGAATCTTAAAGAAATCTATGAAGTCTGTCTTTATAGGGCCTAGGTGAGACCTCAAGGTATAATTGACAGTGATTTGGCTAAAATGGTAGAATAAATGTTAAAATCTGCAGATGCTTCCTTGGAGTTTATTAGAAAAGATGCTATTTGTTTTGTAGTTAAATTCTCAGTATAACTTAAAAACAATGAAGGAGAGTGATGTGTGGGTGGTGTAGGCAATCGATGGTTGTTAGATGATTCTCTTTATGTTAATGTTCCCTGTACCCATCACCAACAGTGGAATTCGGCTGGGAAAATTTAAAATCCAGTCAGAGAAGCAGTGCAGAAATATCTGCTTATTTGTCTGTCTCCCTGGTAAGTCTGTAAGTTTCCTAACAGCAGAGATGGCTCACTGTCTCTTCTGCATGGTTCTTTCTCTGTGGCTGAGATGGAGAAAACAGGGATGGAGGAAGAGAGGACAGTGGGGGGCGGGCAGAGGTGAAAAGAACATCCTTGTACATGTTACAGAGCGTGACCAGCCCTTGCAAAATCAACAGCGTTGATTTCAAGACCCAGAAGTGGGCCTGCGTTCAAATAGGGGGCCTGAAAGGGAGAACTGAAGGGACACATCGAAGACAGAGATGCCTTGTTCTCCTCATTTTCCTCACTCCCTTCATAATGACAAGTCCTTCCCCTTCTCCCTCTTCCTCTCCTCCATCCTTTTCCTCTCTTTCTCCTTCTATTTTTTTTTTTTTAAATCACTAGCTTCAAGAACAACAATGAATTTGACTACCAGGCCCCGTTCTGCTCCCTCTTTACGGTGGGGACTGTTTGATGTTTCTGATCCCAGGGTTCTCCTTGGAGAGTCTGACCAGCTAAGTCAAGGGGGGGCCTGGTAACTAATTTCTGTAACAGGTGCACTTGGGTAATTCCAATGGTCATGGTCAGTCCCATCAGGGCATCCCTCATCAGGTTCAATCCCCTTCTTGTGCTGAGAAGGAATCTGGGGTCTTGTCCGAGGTGGAGCCGTGGCTTGGGCAGGACATCGTAGTCAGACTTTGCACGCAGGCCCCATACTTTGCACGTCGTGGTGAGAGGCCTTAGACTGAGAAGCTGGAGGTGGGCCTGTCGAACCCAGATCATCACGGATACCACCTTCCTACGGTGGCCTGACTTCCTCCGAGGGTCAGCCCCATTCCGGGGCCAGCTCATCCCTCAAATAAGGGGAAGCAGAGAGAACGACCGTCTATGGCTGCCCAGCCCCACCCCCTTCCTTGGTCGTGAGTGAAGCCTGGAGTTTGTGGGGAGGAGGGAGAATGAGTCACCTCCGGCCACTCACTGTCACTAGTCCTCCGGGCTTGGGGTGTAACTTTGTAGTTTTGCGGATCACTGTAGCAGACACCCCTGCCTTACTCATCAGCGGCTCACACAGCAATGGCCCCACTAGCTTGCAAGGTGGTCTCTGAGGCCCACAGAAGCCGAGCTCAAGCTTTGCAGCCAATCTGATTACCAGGCCCCGTCCTGCTCCCTCTCAGCCCTTTGCTGCTCCTGTGTCGGGGCCTGCGGTTTGGCGTTTCCTTCCTTACCCAGTGAGAGCCCCGGCAGCCTCCAGCCTGGCTGCTAGAGATACTGGTAAAGGGCAACAGTGCAGAGAGCAGGTCTTTCAAGATCCAAAGCTTCATTGTTGAGTGGGTCAGAGCCCAGCCAAGCCGGGTGGGATGGGGGCGTGGAGCTGAGGCTCAGCCCCACTTCCTTCAAGCCATTGCTGAAGTGTCACCTTCTCAGTGAGGTCTGATCAGTTAAAATAGCAGCTGCACTTGACCCTGCACAGCCATCTCCCCTTCCCCACCAGCATCGTGTGTGTGTGTGTGTGTGTGTGTGTGTGTGTGTGCACATTACTGATGCACTTACTATGAATTTCTCCTCCTTCCACAGCCACTGTTTGTGGTCTGACTCTGCCACTGACGCATAAGCTCCTGGAGAGCAGAGGTCTCTGTGTTTTCTCCACTGAGGTGCCTGAGCACCAGCGGAGTTCATGGCACTTAGCAGGCAGCCCCAGATGCCCACTGTGGAATAAACAGATGACTGAATAGAAGTGGCTGTTGCAGCTGCACCACCAGATCTGGTCAGGATGCAGGATAATAAGACAACTTCCCTGACTGCTCTGTAGGAGGCCTTGAATCTCGTGTGGCCAATATCTTAAAAAGAAAAAAATAATAAATAAATAACCACTTAAAGGAATCTCAAAGAGCCATGTCACAAGCATTCTGATGGTGTGATCAGGAAGTGACTGGGAAGCCCCACTTCCGCATTAAAGCAACTTGCCCTCTGGGCAGTCACTGAAGTCTGAAATTCCAACAATGATGCTGTTAGGGAGGATTAAACATTGCCCTCTCTTCTCCTGTCCTCTTAACTTCTGTCGTGTATATCAAAATCCGTGTTCTCTATCATTCATACAGGTTGGAGGGGTCCAAGCAGCAGTTTCCGGGGAGTGTAGAGAAGTGCGGGCGCAGGGGGTGTGATGCAGGAGGTGAGAAGAGTTAGATGCTAAAGATTACCCTCACTAACTTAGCAACTTTGTTTTAGACTCAACTTGCAGCCTTAGATGGCCGCTAAGCAGAAGGAAGGTAGACAGACCATAGGTTATCCTCGTAGATGGGCCAGGGACTCAACAGTGTCCGCAGCAAGGAACTCACGGTGCGAAGGGAATTAACACAGGATGTAGCACACTGAAAGGAGGTCGACTTGGAAATGGCTGCGGGGCTGGTGTGGGTGGCGGGGAGCGTGGTGCCCTTCATCATGACTGATGATGTGGCTTTAGGTGGGTCCCCTCTTTTATCTGGGTCTCTGTTGCCTCTGTCAAATGAAGTTGGACTTGATTTCTGAGGATCCTCCCAGCTGCCCCAAGCTTCTAAGAAACACTGTGCCCATTTGCTAGTGAGAGTCCTAAGGAAGGCTAGAGAGGGTTAAAATGCAGTGTTCTGGAGGTTCCTGAGATGGGGATGGACTTGAGAGACCATCCTGACGGCTAAGGTTCTCCCTGCCCTGGGGTTTTGGAAACCACTGGTTCAGACCCGGAAGTACCCAAACCATTGTGTTTTCAAGGTACCACAAGTACCTTCAAGGTATTTACTAAGGGTACCTTCTAGTGTCTTGGCCAAGGCTGGCCTTAGGGGATGAGTGGTTCAGAGAGTCTCACTGCTCTGGCTGTGCCTTTATTGGGAATACTTCTCCAAGTTTCTATAAGAGTCTATGTTGGAGGATCAGCAGGTGGCATGGTAGTTAAGGTGCTGGATTCTCACATTTCGAGCTGACCACAGTTCAAGTCCCAGACCCAGTAGCTTAAAAATCACAACAAATAAATGTTTAAAAAAATTTTTTTTAAAGTCCATGTCACTGAGTAGGAGTCAGGGAGGGGAGTATAGAAGGAGATACCTAACTAGAGCCCACTAGAGGTTGTGATAAGAAATACACAACAAGTAGCAGATTTTTCTAGCTCCAGGGGATGGTTGGAAGATTCCTGAGAGCAAGAGACCATCACAAGGTTGCAAAGTTCCTCTCGAGGGGTACTAATGCAGTAATGCACGGCTGCTGTGTCCAGACCCTAAGGCTACCGAATTTCGGAGAAGAGGGAAGCTACATGTCAGCTGATGAGACTTTAAGGAGGGGCACTGAACTAGACTCCTATCAGCAGAGTAGAGAGAGGGCTTCCCAGGCAGGAGCAGGTGGGTGCTGTGGAAGTGAGCAAGGTCTGGCACCAGAAATGAGGTGACAAATTCTGGAAGGCAGTAAGGGGCAGAGGGACTCTATGGAGTCGAAGGGGCAGGGCAAGGGGGTGGCTAGAGGCCACAAGAGATGACTGGCCAGAGTTGACCAGGTGCCCTGAGGTGGTGGCGAGCCAGGAACCTCAGGGCACTGTGAGAAGGGTAGGGCTGGGAGGGGATGGTCTTGTCTCTTCATCTGCCTCTTTATCTTGTAGGATTCTCAGTAAGTTAAGTCAAGAAATCAACAAGAATGAAGAGAGAAGGAGCATTTTCACACGCAAGTGAGTGGGGCAGCCCACGGCCCATGGGAAGAAACTCGAGAATTTTCCAGACCATATTGTTTTTCAGAAGGACGGCACAGAGCTGGTCTTGCCCCTCTTTCTAACCTGTCATGGGGCCCTCAGTTCCAGGGGTCTTTAAGATGGTGCCAAGGAGGGGAAGAGGGGCCCTTTCCCTGCCCTGCTTCATGCCCCAGGTCCAGAACGTAAGGGGAAGTTCCCTGAGCACATCAGGCGTCACCAGCTCTGATGCCATCGACACGGCTTCGGTGGTTTCCAGAATGTGGACAGTAGCTACCCTGATCGCCAAGCAACAAAAATTAGTCTAGGCAGTGACACGTACCCTCCCCACGGCTACTTTTGCAGGGCTTGACTGAAGAAAGAAGACGGGTCCCTTAAATCAATATGGTCATTAACACAGTGCTGTTTGCTTTTGCAGACCCCAAGTCCAGCGATTTCCAGAGGAGACAGGTAAAGGGCTTTACGGGGATTGCGTTAGGTGATAGGTACTTTGTTCCCTGTGCCTTCTGGTTCCTGAGGCCTCATGGGTGCCATGTAGGTGACCCTATTCATTTGCCTTCCAGCCAGCTCTTTCCTGGGAAAGGGTTTGGATCTAGACTGAGGGGAGGGGAGATGTCACTCTGTGTATGGCCCCTGCTCCGTTGGGATCCTCTGCTGCAGAGGTCAACTGGGAGCTCTCTGGAAGGACCTAGCTCCTAACTATGCACCTGAGCTGAGCCAGTCCCCTCCTGCTGAGTCACTGAAGAATTTTTTGTTTTGTTTTGTTTTAATTGCCAGAGGCAAGTGTGCTGTTCAAAGAGAGAGAGAAAGTACCCCCAATGGGGGATGATTACATCACAATGCTTTTTCCTTCATTACTCCCTCTGCTTCCAGATTTGGGTACACATGAACACATGCCTGGTGTATTTTTCAAGCCTCCAGGGTTGGAATTCTAACTATGGCCAGCCATGTGGGATTTGGCTTTCTACATACAGTGCTTAACCACTGCACTGTGGGGCCGACCCCCTAAATCAACCTTTTATCTTAAATAGCACAGTGTTAAAATGCAGATTCCTGGACTCTACCCAGTCCCACTGAGTCAGAAGGTCTAGGGAGAGGGCGCCTGGGTGTTTGCGTGAAGTAGTCCCACTTTATCTGTGGTTTTACTTTCTGTGGTTTCAGTTACCCACCACCAACTGTGGTGCAAAAATATCGAATGGAAAATTCCGGCAATAAACAATTTCTAAGTTTTAAATTCCGTGCCATTCTGGGGTGCGTGATGCAATCTCAGTGCTGTCGTGCTGGGACATCAATCATCCATTGCTTTGTCCCACATAGCCACATTGTACATGCTTTCTGTCCCTTGGTCACTCAGGAGCCTTTCTGGGTATCAAGTTGACTGTGACAAAGCGACGGTCACAGTGCCGCTGTGCTTCCGTTCAATTAGCCCTGACTTTATTTAATGGCCCCAAAGCACAGGAGTAGTGATGCCGGCAATTTGGAGCTGCCAAAGAAAAGCTGTAAAGTGCTTCTTTAAGAGAAAAAGCGAATGTTTTCAACCTAATAAGGAAAGAAACAAAGCTTATGCTGAGGTTGTTCAAATCTATAGCACACTAAGATATTCTGAGAGTGAGTGAGCACATTCACAAAGCTTCCATTGTAATATAGCGTCCTGACTGCTCTGTTTTAGAGCATTGTCGATCCCTGCCTGTTTTAGAGCATTGTCGATCCCTGCCTGCCCAGTTTATAAATTAGACTTTATCACAGGTATGACTGTATAGGGAAAACCAGTCTCTGTAGGGTTTGGAACTATCTGCAATTCCAGGTGTCCCCGGGGGCCTAGAACGTCTCCCCGCAGATAATAGGGACCCTGGTTTGGTACAGCTCCTGGGTGGCTGTTCCTGTGAAAGCTGAGACCTGCTGCCCTCGGGTGGAAATGCTAGAGCTCACAGTCCGAGGCTGACCCCAGTGTCAGGAAGGTAGGGTGAAAGTCTGGGTGGGGGTGCTGTCTGGGGGCTCTGGGAGTGCTTTCACTTTCCTTCAGTGGCTGCTTCTTTGGGTGCTGATAATGCTGTTCCTCCCTCCACAGAAAGTCACGAAGAGGACAACGGGGGCTGGTCGTCCTTCGTAAGTATGATATGGGCTGTCCTCCTTTACCACGGTGTCCCCAGTAAGGTGCCAGGCCTCTAGTGAGTTGCCACACACCTACTGGGGCAGAGCATTCTGCAGAGGCCCACTAGTAAACACTCTGGCTGTGGAGGTCAGGCTGCCTGCCTCAGCTCCATACCCTGCCCCATGGCACACACAGCACAAAGGCAAACCAAGAGGTTGACCAGGCCAACAAGCCTGCGTTTGCAGAGACGGAGGGTGAGTTGTGCTAGGCCTTGGGCTGCAGTCTGCTGACCACACCTTTACTCACCATTTCAGTCCCCAGCAGGGCTTCCACACCCCCTTCCTGGGCTCTCCGAATGGACTGTCCTAGAAGTCTAAGTGAAAGCAGTTTTTCTTATGGACGTAGCCCCTGTTACTGGCACAGAGGAAGGGGGATTTCAGCATTGCCTATTAGCCCTGGAAAGCCCAACACAGTCGGCCTCCTGGGAAGTTGTAACCTTCCACTGCTTTGTTCCACATTGCGCTTCAGAGCTCTGGGCTCCACTATTCACCCCCGGACGTAGCATGACAGCTGTGATCACGCACTGGCCAGTGACTGGCGGTGCCACCTGTGTTTGGAAAATCTCTGTGAGGACCACAGACTTCCATGGGCTGTGTCGGAGGCAATCAGTCAGCATCCAAGATCCCTGGGGTCCCAAAGAAGTAAAATAATAATAATAATAAATAGTAATAATTTTAAAACCCTTAAAATTTGGAGATCTTGGGGCCAGCACGTGGCATGGTAGTAAGGCACTGGATTTCCACATGGCCCACCATGGTTTAAGGCCTAGACCCAGCAGCTTGAAAATCACGCCAGGCGCATATACATGTGTGTCCAAAGTCTCAAGAAGAGAATGGAGAAGAAGGGGTTGTGGTGTGGTCATCCTCCCTTGGGAGTGATTTCTCGTTTTTGCTCTTGGTCTCTCTCTGGCAAACATGTAGTCCCTATGACAAATCCTTAAAAAATAATAATAATAATAACAAGAGAGAGAGTTTTTCCAAGAAAGAAGCTTTAAACTTCATATCAGATTCCAGGAATAGTAAGTTGCTTTTCTATACAGAAAACTCTCAGGAAAAAGAAAAAAAAAAAAAAAAAAAAAAAAGCCCAGACTGCCTCCCTCTCACATACGACTTAATCTTCCTTCTTTTTTTCTTTTTTTTTTCTTTGAGAGAGAGATTTTTGCTACAGGGCACGTACGTTTGCCAGAAAGACAGAAAGTGAGAAATCACACCCCCTTACACGAGGGGTGATGGCCATACCACGGTCCCTTCTCCATTTCTCCTCTTAGGATCTTGGGCATGCATGCACACGTGCAAAGTGTGAATTTTCAGCCACTGGGTCCAGGACTCAAGCCATGTCAGCTACGTGGGAGTCCAGCAGTGTAACTACTCTGCCATCTGCTGGTCCCAGTCTGCCTGCTAATTAATGGGCAAGGCTTCTCTGGCTCCCCCCTGTAGCCTGGCCTTCAGCGTTGCTCTAAGGTGTGATGAGGGGACATCTTTTGAACACAGGCCCTGGAACAGAAACGACAGCTATGTAGTGTCATCGCAAATGCTCCAGGCACTTAGGCTCGCTCTCAGCGATGCCCAGAGTGAAAATGGGTTTGCTCAAGACAGAGCCCACCCCCACTGCCTATTCCAGCGTCTTCCTTGTTTCTTCTGTTCTTCTCTGTTGTGCAAAATGGTGTAGAGGAAAAAGCACTCACCTAGTGGTCAGAAGACCGGGACTGACATGCTAAGTCCACGATTTGCTGCCCCTTGATGTTGCACCCCAGGTCACAGTTGTCTCATCCCCAAGGGGTGCCATTGCGAGGCTCAGTGGGGGGTGGGACGAGCTCATCAGGAGCCTCGGAGCCTCTGCAAACTGCCCCATCCCTGTCACTGTGTTGGCAGGAAGAAGATGACTATGAAAGTCCCAATGAGGATCAAGATGGGGAGGATGATGGCGACTATGAGTCCCCCAATGAGGAGGAAGAGACGCCTGCAGATGACGATGCCGATTACGAGCCACCACCTTCCAATGACGAGGAAGCTCTGCAGAACTCCATCCTGCCTGCCAAGCCTTTCCCCAACACCAACTCCATGTACATCGGTAAGGACCGCCTCTCTCTCTCTCCTTCTTTCTCTCTCTCTCCTCTCTCCCCCCTCTCTCTTTTTAAAATTTTGCCAAAAGGAGAGACAGAGAGAGGGAGAGGGAGAAAGCATACCCCAGTGGGATGTGTTCATGCCGCAATCCCTTCCCCTTTGCGCCTTCATCCTCTTGGGATTTGGGGCACACAATCAAGCTACTGTGTCTGGGACTCAAGTCATACAGTCAGCCGTGTGTGATCTGATTTTCTTCATCCTTTCCTTTCCTTTTCTTTCTTTCTTCCTTTTTATTTTTATTTATTTATTTATTTATTTATTTATTTTTTAGAGAGAGAGAGAGAGATTTTTACTCTAGGGTACACACGCACACAGGAGAGACAGAAAATGAGAAAGCATTCCCCAGGGGGATGCCACACTGCAATCTCTTCTCTTGAGATTTTGGGCATGCATGCACATGCACCTGGCATGAGGGTTTTTTTTTTTTTCAGTCTGTTTGTTTTTAAAGAATTATTTTATTTAACTTTATTTATTTATTTTTAATTTGACCAGAGAGAAATAAAATGAGAGAGAGACAGAGAGGGAAAGTAAAAAACAAACCACTAGGTCTGGGACTCCAACTCTGGTCAACCATGTGGAGTCCAGCACCCTTAATCATCATGCCATCTGCCAGCCCCAACCTGGCATGAGTTTTAACCCACCGGGTCTGGGACTTGAACCATGGTCCACTATGTGGGAGTCCAGCGTCATAACCATTACTCCATCTGCTGGTCCCAGGATCTGATTTTCTTAACCACTAGGCCACTGGGCCAGCCCAAGGGCCTGCTTTTTGATCTTCTGGTCCTGGCAACCCAAAGCTAAGCTCCCTGCTACTGCCTGGGAGGTTGCTGCCCACCCTGCCCATGTCGCTTTGGGAGTTATACCAGCTCAGCTTCTAAACAGCTATGTGGCCTTAGACAAGTGACTTCACTTCTCTGGGCCTCAACTTTCTTATCTATGAAATAAGATAATAAGAGTAAAAACCACATGGTTTTGCTGTGAGGATTATTAATACTGCAGACAAATCGCTGGCCCCGGTGACTAATAGCAACGAGCTGCCTCTGAAGGGGGCTTGGTAGGTCTAACTCATTCTGTGCATTACTCAGATACTCAGGAGTACAGTTCAGGTCCTCTCCAGCTTTTGACCAAATCACAGCTATGGAGCGCCACCACCCACAGACGAGTAGAATAAACATAAAGACACTGAGTGGGGCTTGACTGTAACATTACCAAAATGTAGACAGCATTTAAGAGTGTCATTATCTGGCTGCTCCTGCTGGGTCATTTCTCCCTCGTTCATTTATTCCACAACAATGATTGATCCTGTGCTATGAGTGGGCACCACCACGAGTCCTAGAAAGCCACCAGGAGAGAAGACAGTGTGGGACTTTCTTGCAGTCGTGGCAGTGATGGGAAGCAGACACGTACGCCCTTGCATGACGACAGCAGGAAGGAAGTCAGAAAGGTGGTGACCAACACCACAAGAAAGTTAGAACAGCGAATCTCGCGTGCCGCGTGGCACTCTGCTGTCGTCGAGCCCTTCCCCGACACTGCCTCCACCTTGCTAGTTTCTGAGCACCTGGGTCAGAAGGGGCATGGTGGTCACACCTGCAGGTCCAGAGGAGAAATGGTAACTAGTCGAGCGCGTGTGTGCCAGTCTGAAGACAGAACAAAAGAGTCCTCGCTCCAAGGGAGTCACAGGCCAGTGGGGGAGGCAACAGCTGGCACATGGGCCACCATGGCTTAACGACGCCATGACACGCCATCAGGGAGACGGTGCAGGAGACAGGCCAAAGCATGCTCCTACTCTGGGCTCGCTTCCTTTGGGTTGTAGTGACATTTAGGCAGGGAGGTGAGGCCGACATTAAGGAGGAGTGGAGAGCTGGCTGACAAGGATGGATGTGGTAAGGGAAGAGCATCTGAAGCGGTGGACGTGGCTGTGCAGGGCCCTGAAGCTTCCAGGAGCATGGACGATGGCCGGTGTGCGGGGAGAGGATGAGATTAGCCCAGGCTTGCCTGCTCTCTGAACCCCTTCTCTGGAGAAAAGTCAGGACCTGTGGGGCCCAGGAGAAGTGCCTTGGGAGGTGAGGAGACCCTCTGTCCTCACCTCTCTGGCCTCACTGCCCGTCAGAGGAGTTGAAAATGGCCAGCCTGTTGGCCAGCCTGTCCCCCACTCTCTGGGACAGAGTGGCATGCCTTTCTGCATGGCAAGTCCTTGCACCGTGAAGTCCGATTTGGCAGAAGTGGTGTCGGGCTCCTCCTCTTAAGGGAAGAGATAAGCAAAAGGAGGAAATAGGGAGGTGCAGTTCGGAGGGGCAGGAAGGGGACCCAGAACAGGATCCCCGTGAGCAGTGACAGCAGCTCCGCCCCATACAGGCCTCTGCATGTACCCATGGGAGTGTGTGCTTGCATACATGTGGGTCTGTGTGTGCACATACTATGCACGCATGTCTCTGTGCGTGTGCATGTGTGCACATTGGTGTCTGGCTGCAGAGGCACGTGTACCTTGGGTCCATTCTGGCTGACACAGGCCAAGCTAGTTACATAGAGGCCTGTTTTGATAGCAGCATCTCTGATGAGCACCTGCTCCTGTGAGGTGGGGTAAGAGTTGCAGCGGGGCAGAGAGGGGAAGGCAGGGGGGCCAAAGACTCCCCAGTGCTCCTAGGACCTGGGCTGGCCTTGCTGTGGCCAGAGCTTGCCTTGGGTCTGGGGAAGTCTGGGAGATGAGGATTGGGCACTGCTGGTCCCTCGAGCTGCAGAGCCAGTGGACGCCTGTGTCCTGGAGACCCCAGAGCCTGGCGACACTCAGCCGGGCTTCGCTTTTCTCCTCTGATGTTACGTTCTTGCTTCTCCACAGACCGGCCCCCCTGTGGGAAAGGCCCACAGCAGCCACCCGTGCCCCCGCAGAGGCCGATGTCTGCCCTCCCTCCCCCGCCAGCCAGCCGGAGTCACTCGGTAGGCCTCTTCCCCTGCTGTCAGGGCGCTATGTCCACTCCAGTTACCTCCTCTGCCAGAGAGAACAGAAAACTAGAAACGTCTCTGTCTCGTTCTAATGTAAGGGAAGATTATATACGACATAGCTGGGAAAATGCATACCCAAGTACTCACCGTGTTCCTTTTTAAGGTGAAATACTGGTGATTTTTATTCACATCATGCTTGTGGGTATTTTCTCTGAACCACACAACATGAACTATTTGTGTAGTAAGAAGCCCATTCTAGTGCTCAGTGTGCTATCACTTCCCACTATCAGGAATAAGCAAACACTAAAACAAACTCAAGAAAACGGAGTTAAGTCGGTGAGCTCACTGGGGTTACCTAGGTACCACGCCTCCCTCGCGCCTGCTAGAAGACTGCTGCCACCTGCTGGCCAGTGCCTGAACTTCCAGGAACGAATGCCCTCAGACTAGTTTACCAGCCAAGGAGCCCAGGGCAAGAGAAAGAGGCTGCAACCCCCTTACCGCTTTCTTCAGGCACAGGATGCGGCTCCTGGGGGGCTAATAAATCTCTAGAGTGACCCTGAGAGGCTCAGCCTTAGCCGGAATTCCTAGGTGGGAATATGTCTCTTCATAAGAGCCCTAGCTCTTTAGCAGCTGTGGCAAAGGCCAGGTGTCAGGAGGAAGAAGGAGACGAACAAAGCTCAAAATCCAGACCACGCCAGACTCGGGACCTCCTGAGAGCAGGTGTCTCCATGTCCTTCTTGTTCCGTTCCATTCGAAGGGCTCACAGAGCTGAGTCTCTCTACAAATGCACATTGGCCATGTAATCTGAGTTTTCGCCTCCGCCATCAGGGTGCGGGGGTTTTCTCTGCAGCCCGCAGAGCGAGCAGCCTCTAGGTGCTGGGTAGGGCATGGACAAGACACACAAGGCCCTGCTTTCCTGAAGCGTCGGGCTGAGTTAGGGGGACACATAACACACAGTAAGCAGAAGGGCAAGTGCGGTCACTGGGGAGTTACGTGGAGTTAGGGAGACAGAAGGCCGGGTGACGACACAATGAGTGGGAAGGTGACATTGAGCTGAGACAGAACATGCCAGTGGTCGAAAGTGCTGGGAGAACATTCTAAGTGGAGGAAAACACGAGGACAGAGGTGCCAAAGGCAGAGGCTTGAGATTTTTCAGGTACTGCAAGAAATCCCTGCAGTAGGCCCTGTGAGCCAGACAGAGTGAGGATAAGGTGGGATCGGAGAGGGTGGTGGGTGCCAGCTCAGCCAGGGCCGCGCAGGCTGTGTTGCGTTTCCCCTTTGCTCCTACTGTGACAAGGGCACTGGGAGGCTCGGCAGGGAGTGGCATGCTCAGTCCACAACCGTGCAGAGCCCCTCGTACGCGAGCACAGAGCAGGGAGCTCAGGTAAGAAACGGAGAAGGTCATGGGTGGACGTGAAGATGAAGAAAGGTGAACAGACCCAACAGACGTGGGGAGGCTAAGCCACAGGTCTCGCGGCTGTGCTGCACATGCTCCTGACATTTGAATCTTTCTTTAAGCAGCCACTCCCCCCACCCCAGCCCAACCACGAGGAGCCCAGCCGAAGCAGAAACCACAAGACAGCGAAGAGTAAGTCCCACAGCTGCTCTCTCTTGCCTGCCAGCCCCACCCCCAGGCCTACCCTATCCAACTGCTTTCGCCTTCCATTGACTTCAGTCTTCGTCCCTTCCAGTCCCGGCTCCTTCGATAGACAGAAGCACGAAGCCGCCCCTGGATCGCTCATTAGCTCCGTTTGACAGAGAGCCCTTCACACTAGGTGAGTCTGAGGGTAGTTTTTGCTTCGTAATAATGGTGAATGTTTGTGAAGTGCTTCCTGCAGGCTTTCCCCACGCACCACCTCCACAATACTATGCGGGAGAGGCTGTTAGAATCATCCTCATTTTGCTGATGAGGAAACGGAGGCACAGAGAGGTAACTCCCCAAGATCCTTCAGTGTTGGGGGTAGAAACCCAAACCCAGCTCAGTCTGACTGTAGAGCTCCTGCCCTTAGCTCCTGGGTGGCACCTGCTTCTCCTTGGGTGTGGTCTGTGTACACACATCTCCTTATCCTGTCTTGTCCTTTTCTTGCAAGCTTAGACTTTTGACATAAGACTTCCAATATGCCCAGAGAATACATATAAATCAGTGTGGTTTTCTTTTCTTTTAAAGAAAAATCTATTTAGGCCAAGGGTAGAAATTTAATTTTTCTAGGCATCCTTCCTAAGCTATGTAGAATTTCATTCCAAACCAAACTTTCGTAAGTAATAAATTTCTCCTTTACTATTTTTATTCTTTATTGCCGGAAGGCATGTGTACTCTACAAGAAGAGAGAGGAAGAGAAAGCACCCTCAATGGGGTGTGGTCACACCACAATCCTACTCCTGCATTTCTCCATCCCTTCAGGATCTGGGGCGCACAAGCATACCTACCCAGGATTTGAACAAGGGCTAACCATGTGGGGTCTGACTCCCAGGGCATAGCACTTAACCAATGCACTAGAGGCCACCCCAATAATAAATGCACCCCCCCATTAGCTGGTGAGCTCTTCACAGTGGGACAGTATTCCTAAGACCTATAGTGGGTATGGCACATTCTCAGTCCCCACGAAATAAAACCACACTGTAAAAATGCAGCTCCAGGTAAATCATATCACCAGTCACCTTAGGGTGTTAACTGGGCCCAGGGATGGAGGCAAGCTAGAAAAGGGAGCTAACTAACAGTTAGTTATCCACCCTGTCTGTACAAGTTGCCAGGTCATGCTTACAGCAAATGCCGGCTGTCTTAACCTAGAAGCCCCATTTTATCATTGAAGAAATTGAGACTCAAAATGCTCCTTTGAGGTGGGCATTGTTCAAGGTCTTATAGGATTAGTGTCTAGACCTGGTTGAATCCAGTTGGTAATACTTTCAACACATCGAAGACAAGGGGTCTTCCTACTCTAGGGAACTTCAGATACCGGTTGAATTGCGTAGAATAACTTTGCGATGTGGAATCCTCAGGTGCATCTGGCATTTATTCAGAAGCCTGCATATTCTAAGAGGAAAGTAAAACAGACAAACAAAAACAATTTAAAAAAGGGGGGGGGGATTTGAAGCAGACCAGGAGAATCTCCTGAAACTCCCCCCAACCCCGTCCTTTCAGAAACTAAGAGAAATGATCTACACGACTCTACTCCATGTCTAGAGGAAAAGTCATCTCTTCATGGCAAATGGGTTTGTTTCAGATGTGGAAATAAAACAGGCTATACAGAGACCACTTGTTAGCAAGTGAAAGAGGCATAAAATCTGAGAAGACCTTAATCCTTTCTATCCTCAGTTATAGAAAGTAAAGTGTTGGGCCAGCCCTAAGGCCTAGTGGTTTAGGCAACTGGACCCCATAGGGCCTACCATGCAGTTCGAGTCCTGGACCTGGTAGCTTGAAAAACATGCCAGGCATATGTGCAAGTGTGCCCAGAATCCCAATGGGATGAAGACGTGGAGGGGAAGGGATTGCAGTGTGATCATTCCCTATGGGGGAGGGGGGTGTTTGTTTCTCTCTCTAGTAAGTGCATGCACCCTGTAGCAAAAAACAAACAAACAAACAAACGAACAAACAAACAAACAAAAAAGCACCAAATGTTGAAAAGAAACACAGAACCACAATACTATTTGGATATACACAAAGCTGTGTATCTGTGTATCTGTGGGTAAGTCACTTAATTTCTGAGTCTATGAAATTAGGTGCTCTGTGAAGGGACCCTTTTGGGTCTGAAGTGTCTGACTCTTCAATGGACAGACCTAACCTTAAAGGGCTTCCTGGTTCCGTGAACTATATTTTTAAACCTCATATTTACCACGTCCCGAATCTAAGGCCCATCTGCTATCTGTTGTTTGCAGGAAAGAAGCCAGCATTTTCTGACAAGGTAAGGCTTTTGTTTTGGTTTATATCTTATCCTTATTCTGGACAAAGTACTTAGCGGCTCATACTTTTCCTCCTGTCTTGCAGCCCTCTACTCCAGCGGGAAGGTAAGCAACATCACACCCACACAGGGTCTATGGGTCCATGGGGTCTGTGGGGTCCGTGGCATCTGCAGAACGTCCCTGGCGGTTGTGTTTGTGTCTCACACTTTTTTTTTCTCTGAACTCTGCAGGCCCCTCGGGGAGCATTTACCCAAGATACAGAAGCCTCCTTTGCCACCAACTACAGAACGACATGAAAGGAATAGCCCTCTGACAGGAAAGAAGCCACCTGTGCCAAAGTAACTGTCTCCTGTTGCTTGAGCTTGTCATTCAAACAGAAATGATGGCACGGGGCAGTGTCACTCTGCACCCGGGACTGATGGTCACAGCTGCTCCTTGGGGGACTGGGCGGGGGTGTGCTCTTGTCTTGCTGTTGCTGTGGCTTGAATGATGTTCAAGTGTCTCAGGTTGGATGTAAATATGAGGGTAGCTCTGAAGACCATGGGAATCTGACTATAAATGAGTAGAGAGAGCTTCCCCAGAAGTGTGGGAAAGCCTCCTCTGTGTGGAGAGCTCGTCTGCAACCAATCAGATTTGAGGTCACATTTCCCACCTTTGAAGTAGGGAAGGCTTTTACAGCAAAGCCGTCAGGGTACATAGGAACTGTGTCTGCCATTCTGTTTTTCAGCACAGGTAGCAGAGAGGAAACGGGGAGGTTTTGAGGTCACCCTGGTGTCTTCCTTACTGCTTGGCCTCACTGTATGCTGCAGAGTACTGAGAAATGCGCTAGCATTTCTGAATTTGCTATACAGTCATCGGGAACCTGTTGACCAATTAATATGAGTGTATCTAGGGTCGGGGCTGATCCTACTTCTTACAACCAAGACTACTTAATTCTTAAGTAGTCTTTAAGCTTATTTGTTTACTTCTTCCATGAGCAGAAGACACACAGACAGAGACAGAGACAGAGAAACAGAGACAGAAAGCGTCCCCAACGGGGTCTTGATGCTGAGGTCTATCCCCAGCCTTCAGCCAGCCCCAGATCAGGGGTGTACACCTGCCCAGTGCACTCCGGGAGGTCTCTCTGAATCAGAAACCTTCCCATATGGGATTGCCTCGCAGTGAATGGCGCTTCACCACTGCACCGGCATCCGGCCCTGACCTCAGTACCTCACCTGTGAAATCGGGGTTCATAGCTGTCGCCCTTGCTCAGTTGTGGTAAGGACTAAGTCCGGGCCGAGGCTAGGGTGTGCAAAACAACAAAGACAAACAAAAAACTTCCATATTTGAGTTTCAAAATATTTTAATGCGATATTTAAAAAATCACCAAAAATGAATGCAAAAAGTCATAGTGAGTAAAATGTCAATACCATCGCTGCACCCAGCAGGAGTTGATGACATGCGAACATCCGACACAGAGGAGGCGTTCAGATTGTCCTGCTCACCCCCTCCCTGAGGAGAACGCCACGCGGGCCCAGGCAGTACAGATGCCTGCTGCGGCTCTAAGGCAGCTGTCACCACATCTGTCTGATGAGCTCGCTCCTCTGGGCCAACTGCACTGAGCCCCCTTTGAAAAAGTCCCAAAAGCAGGAACATCTGCCAGCTGTTTTCCCTTTACACTGAGTGTTGACCCTAAGCTGGCTGCTTTAAAGCATCAGCAAAGGAAAACAATACCCAGAATGTTTTCACTGGCTTGGAGAAACATCTACTCCGTGAAATGTCATTGCTACTGAAGAGTTAGTTTGCTGACTAAACCCTTTTTTAAAAAATACATATACAATTATTTGCTGCAGTAGCTGCCCAGGACAGAGTGTCCTAGCTCAGCATGTGGCGATGACAGACATTGAGTGACCAGCTCTCTCTTCCACACCCTGGCCTGCCTCTCTGCTGGAGCCTTCCCATCTTACCACAGCTCAACGGCTTTGATTTCTCGCTATTAGATTAAGTGGAACTATCTGTATTCTAAAGCTAGCTCTTTCAAATTCTGGAGGCTCAGTTCTTTTTCTTTGCCCTAATTTATTTCAGGCATGGATGGGGACCAGATAGAAGAGAGAATGTAAGTACAAAATAGCCTTCTGTAGATAATGGGACAGAGAAAGCCTACATGGGCTCTGGGGAGGCTGGGACTACACGGGTCTTGGCCTTCACCGACGTCTGGCACTGGAGTAAGGCCTGCACACAGCAGGCTCTGGAATGCTGGTGACTCCGTCTTTGGCAGTCTCGATCTTCCCCTGGAGCCCATCATGCTGTATTACCTGCTCCTGTCCCTTCGAGGGGTCCTAGTCTGGCTGGGTTCACTGCAGCCCCATTACCAGATGGTAATTAGCAAGGAGAGGGACTGGGGCGGGGTGGGTTTGCAGAAGATAAAGTGAGGGATGGCAAGGAGCCTGGGCCTCTCACCAGAGTTTCCAAGGCCTCTGTTTTCCCTCTCTATACCTCCATGGGCTGGACAAGGGAAAGCCGCATTGAGTGCATGCTTACTACGCGCCCGTTGCCAAGCTAGCCAGGTCAGGGTGGCCAAGCATTGCTGTTTACTGGGGCTTCTGTTTTGGCACTGAAAGTCCCATGTCTCAGGGACTTCCTCTGTCCCAGGCAAACCAACATGGTTAGTCACTGCTAGATTTAGATTTACCCTGCATGTAATGACCCTCTGAGGCATCATCTCTTCTTTTTTATTGAGAGGAAATTGAAGCTCAGAAGGGGTAAGATGTTCATTGTAAGTTGCACAGTTACGATATCTACATCCAGGTCTGTCTGAGTGTCTCTACACTGTTAGCCCTCTGAAGGCCGTTGGACAGCCACTGCTATTCAAATGTTCAGCCCACGGGTGCCTGCAGTTTCTGTGTTCATTCACAAAAAGCGATAATATAACATGGTGACAGGCACACCCATGTCACTGTGCTTACCCGCATGCAGTCATGCAGTGATCTCACGAGGCTAAGAGGAGAACGTGGTCTATGTGGCTCAAGGGGCCAGCAGAGACTTCTCAGAGGAGTTGAGACATATGGCAGTCACTGAATGACAGGGAATACACATAATTGAGTCATCCTAAAAGAAAGGCCAGATGCATTCCAGCTTCAAGAATGTTCTGAGCAAGTGGGTGGCAATGTCCATGGAGCCTTCAGGGACATCGTGACAAAGTAGAGGGCAGTAAGCTGAAGGTTAGGTTGGACAATGAGGGTAGCATCACATTCTTGAGGTTCCTAGTCTACAGAAGAATTGACAATTGTCACAAGAATCTGGGAGTTATGCGTTCTTAAACTGGAAGGGAAGTGGTTGCAATAAGATGTTCATTGTAAGTTGCACAGTTACGATATCTACATCCAGGTCTGTCTGAGTGTCTCTACACTGTCAGCCCTCTGAAGGCCGTTGGACAGCCACTGCTATTCAAATGTTCAGCCCACGGGTGCCTGCAGTTTCTGTGTTCATTCACAAAAAGCGATAATATAACATGGTGACAGGCACACCCATGTCACTGTGCTTACCCGCATGCAGTCATGCAGTGATCTCACGAGGCTAAGAGGAGAACGTGGTCTATGTGGCTCAAGGGGCCAGCAGAGACTTCTCAGAGGAGTTGAGACATATGGCAGTCACTGAATGACAGGGAACACACAGAATTGAGTCATCCTAAAAGAAAGGCCAGGTGCATTCCAGCTTCAAGAATGTTCTGAGCAGGTGGGTGGCAATGTCCATGGAGCCTTCAGGGACATCGTGACAAAGTGGAGGGCAGAAAGCTGGAGGTTAGGTTGGACAAGGAGGGTAGCATCACATTCTTGAGGTTCCTAGTCTACAGAAGAATTGACAATTGTCACAAGAATCTGGGAGTTATGCGTTCTTAAACTGGAAGGGAAGTGGTTGCAACAGTGTGGGCGAGTGATTTCCTGAGGAGTTCAGAAGCTCGTGTGCGTCTATGTCCTGCCTTTTGCTGGAACTCGAGGTGGGCCAACTGGCACAAACAATCCTGTGTGTGGTTCTTCTTGCCTTGTCTCAATACATTTTCAGACTAATAATAGCACACATTTATTTATTTTAATTGCCAGATTTTATGTGTGCTCACCAGAGGCAGAGAGAAGGAGAAAGGGGATGTGTGGTCACAACATGATCCTCTTTATTTATCCACCTTGTTGGGACTGAGGCATGCTGGCACTTGCTTCTGGAGTGTTTTTCAAGTCATCAGAGCCAGCATTCAGCTATGATCAGCTATGTGAGATCTGGCTCCCTTAACCATAGGCTATGGAGTCAATCCCACAAACTTTTATTAAAGAGTTTAACACATGCCAGGCACATGGAGTAACTAACTTAGTCATTACAACACGTTGAGGGAGGTGTTTTTTGACTACCATGGGCCTGGCCTAACAAAATAAGGTTGGCCCTTTAATCTGACAAACTTGTTTTGTCTCTTTGAACTTCATTGCTTATCTAAGGAGAAGAGAAAACAGTCTTTCCCTTGTCTTGATGCTCATTGAATCATAGGAACTGAGACTGTGTCACAAGGTTACCCTGAAGATAAAAATGGTGAGGCTTGTCATGCACCTTGGAAGTCATGCTATATATAACTAAGGTCATAGTGCTTTTAAGAAGAGTAGACATTGCAATGGAAAGCCAAAAAGCAGGCTGGGATTTGGGTCAGACAGATTTGGGGTCAAATTTATTCCTGAAAGTCTTGCAAGCTAGGAATTTTTTCCAGCATCATGTTTGCATTTGCAAAGGGAGGATGCTAAATTCTTAAAGAAATGCAGGGGGAATTGAATAAAGCATTGTGTGTATAAATCTTTTGAGCACAGTGTAGATATTGTTGACATCATTATATCTCAGGGCTCCTTCAGGCACCTCAAAATCTGTTTCATGCTAAGTACATGGAAAGAGTCCCAGATTAGAGTCTTCTTAGATATTATTTATATTAAGTATCATAAAATCACCTAGCAAGTTCTAGTCTTGGCAATAAATGTATAATGGAGAGATATAACAGAGAGGCTAAAGAATGAAATGGAATTTACTTTCTTGATAAATGTAGTTTTTCTCTTAGGAATTATGTTTTGACCATAAGTTAATATCTTCTATTTTCTTCTCTTTAACAGGATGAAGATGATGGTAAGTTCAGAAAAACTTGTTTACAACTTATAACTCACTCTTTTATTTTTTCTGTTCAGCCATTCAAATGGAGTTATTAAGCACAGGAACTCCACAGAATCAATTCTAACTGTTAGGTTAATTATTAAGTAGACATATGTCAACCGGTTTCTTGCATAATTGTAGTAGAATGGAGTTATTTGGTTGGGCTATCAAGGAGAACTAAGTTTATATATCACCATGTAGATTGCTTAATTATACAACAGAATTAAAAATTGCATGTATGATCTGATAGAAGAATGTCTAATGCTTATGACTTCTGACATATGTAGGTAAAGAGTTAGTAGTTGCAGATGAATCCAAGAACACAAAATGTTGGCTTTCATAGGATAAAACCTGTGATCATTTTTGAAATTCATAAGTTTTCCAGTTCACAAGTTTTCTGCCAAGTTTGCATTTTATAAACAAGATAAATAAAATAAGTGGATATTATAGAGAATGATAGAGAACAACGGCACTTTTGAAATGTATTATAAGCAGGTAAAGCACTTAGAAAAACCTTGGGAGCGTGGAGTTCCATTCTGCCACTTCCTAATTAGATCTGATCTTTGGGATTTTTGTGTTTCCCTTTGTACCAAATATTTCTAACTGAGAGCAGTTCTGGAATATTGTTTAATGACTCTTGAATTCTGACAACTGCATTGATTATTTTTCCTACCTTCCCCACAGTGCATCAGAGACCTTTGCCCCAGCCAGCACTACTTCCTATGAGCTCCAACACTTTCCCATCAAGATCTACCAAGCCAAGCCCCAAGCATGCCTTCTCGTCTTCTCACATGTCTGGGGCATTCTCAGAAAGGTTTGTAATTTAGTCATTAAATTTGAGCTGAATGTAACATCTGAGTCTACCCAACATTAAAGTAATGCCAGGTGGATTGAGGAAGACAGAAATGAGCCACTGGGTAGTAGGACATGAACATTTGGGGTCTGAAAACAAAACCAAACTGAGCATTAAGAACAATATGTCAGAGCCAGATGGTGGCACAGTGGTAAAATGCTATATTCTGTGAGGCGACATTTCTGGTTCAATCCTGGAGAACTCTAGGACAGGGGTCCTCAACCCCTGGGCCATGACTGGTGTTGGTCTATGCCTGTTGTTCCCACCCTATCTGTGCAGCAGAGGGTGGGTGGCAGGCAAGTGAGTGAGGCTTCATCTGTGTTTGCAGCCATTCCCCATCCCTTGCATTACGACCTGGGCTCCACTTCCTATTGGATCAGAGGTGATACTGGATGAAAGCATGAACCCTATTCTTCTGTAATTGTTTCATTGCAATGTGATAGTGGTGGAAATGGAGTGTTTGGATGTGGTATACTTGGGATATCCCAGGATCCCATCACCACCACCCTTGGTCCATGGAGAGATTATCTTCCATGAGGCCAGTTCCTGTTGCTGCTCTAAGATTACCAGTTAGCTTAAGTACTGCATCTTAGATGGGGAGACTAAGAAAAAGGGCCTTGCACTTAGCAGATGCAAAGAATTCGATGCATGTCTGTTTTCTCAATAGTAGCACCAGTTCTCAGGACTTAGAATAAGGCTGCCCAGAGGCAGAGGCCTGGAGGGAGAAAGACACAGGTCACTCTTCCCTAACAAGCCAACAAGCTGCTTCCTGGTGACCCCCAAGGTCTCTAGCCCTTTTGGCTCATCCTCTTCTTTAATATTTGAGGAACTCAAGTTCCCACCCTATGGATTGGTTGTAGAAAACTCAACTGCCAGCAAGACTTATCCACTTCTGGCAAATAGGTGGGGTCTTTGAAAAGTCCATAGGAATACATATTTTGGGGGAAAAATGCATGGATTTCAAAAATTATTGGTACTAAAGTAAACTTTGGCTTTAATTCTATTTTCTCACAAACTAAAGGAAAGTTGTGACATATTTTCCCATGTTTTTCTATGCATAAATGCATCATGACTTTCCCAACAACCCAGTATTTGCAGTCCCCTGGCATCTGGGAGGATTCCCAAACTTCTTCATTTTCCCTATTTGCCTCTTGCCAGGTTTTCTGCTTCTGTTTCTCATTCGCTTACCTGTTTGTCCTTTCTTTCTCTCATTTCTTGTCTCTTTCTCTCTCATCTTTCCTCTTTTCATGTTTGTTATTTTTTTCATGTCGCTTCATCCCACACTGGGCTCTAACCCCATCCTTCATTATAGAAATGTACCACACACATGAGGTTGCTGTGCAGAACAGACTTTTACAGAAGGTGTGGATCAATGGGTAGGGGATGACTGCTTAGCTTGATAGGTGGGGAGGTCCCCCACAGACCATCACTTACTGCCCCCATCCCTGAAAGCACTGTCACTCTCCTATGTAGTAACTTCTAGCAATTCTGCTTCCCACCTCTCCTCTGCAAAGTGTGAAGCCCTGGGGATTCACTGTTCACAAACTGCATGTCCACCAATATAAGTGGTCCTCTCCGCAGAGGGCTTCTGGCATTCGTCAAACTCAAAGGCCTCAAACTGCAGTCACCTATTTAACTTTTGAAGGCCCTTTATATCATTTTTGTTACTGGTTTGGCCTGTGACACTTGTTATTTGGGATAGTCCATCATAGATGGGAGCATGAGTTCCATTAGTTCCTTCCCTTCACCTAGCCCTCATAGTTTCAAAGAGGAGGAGAAGGAAGTAATAACAACACAAGAAGCATTTGCAGTCTGGCTCTAACCCCAGTGATCCTTTTTGGCCCCATCACCAACCCACCTTAAAATCCATTCTTTTTTTGTCTCTGCAGTAGTAGCAGTTTTCCACAGAGCGCCTCCTTGCCACCATACTTCTCTCAAGGTTGGTATTCTGGGTTCTGGTGACCCATCCAGTCAATATGCCTTTATGACTGATCTCAACTTGTCCCAAAGCCTTTTGCCAAAGGTTTTGTTGTTTCCTAAAAGTATCTGAGGTCCTCATTCAACATTTTATTCAGTGTCTATAGTGTGCCAAGGACTGCGGGAATAAGAGTCCACATAAAATTACACACACGCACACACACACACACACACACACACACACACACACACACACTTCATGAGGAAGCCAGTCCTAAGCCTTCCTCTAACAAGGAGCTATTCTTCCCCATCCTTCCCATCCAAAGCTTAGAATAGTATTTTAACTTCTCTGTAGTTTCAGGCTTCCATGAAGACTCTTCCCTTGGATTAAGAGTTGGGGAGCAGGTTTAAAACAGAGATTAAGAGAACTCAATGATACTGATTGAGTCAGTCTACAGTGAGGCCCAAGGACTTGCCTGGTGTTTTGTTTTGTTTTGTTTGTTTGTTTGTTTTAGAGTTTTTTGCTATAGGGCACATGTGCTTACCAGAAAGACAGAGAGAGACAGAAAGTGAGAAATCACTGCCCACGGGGGGTGGCCATGCTGCAATCCCTTCTCCTCCATTCTCCTCTCAAGATCTTGGGCACGCATGCACATGCGCCTGGCATGAGTTTAAGCCACTGGGTCTGGGACTCAAACCGCAGTCTACTACATGGGAGTCCAGCGACATAGCCATTATGCTAACTGCTGATCCCAAGGACTTGCCTTTTTAATAGCACCAAAGGGTGCTAATGCACTCTCAAACTTTAATGTGCATACAAATCCCCTAAGAACTGTGTGAAAATGCAGACTTTAATATAGTTCATCTTGGGTGGAACCCAAATTTCTGCACTTCTAACAGAAATGATGCTGATGCTGCTAGTTCACTTTAAAGGCCTATAAGACAGGACTAGATTTATTTTTATCCATGAGGTTTTTCAAGAGATTGGTATGTGATACTTGTAAAATGCTTGGTGAATGACTGAAGGCCAAATGATTATGTGTAGTTATCCAACCCTAGTAAGACTTTCACTATGCCAGGAAACTGGCCTAGTGTTGCCAGATTTTCTACCTTTTTGTGTTTTGTTTTTTGAGAAAAGTTGAAAATAACTTTTAATGTTAAATTAACCAATTTTAATTTTAAAATATTGACTCAATTTTTTAAAACACTGAAAGAATGAATAAAGCTTTTTTTAAACATGTGCAGAAACACACACCAGTGTCTTTCTTAGATTGAAAACTATATTAGAGGTTTGAATTATAGCTCAAGAAAAAAAATTTTCCCAGAAACATACATATTTTATTTTGCTGGATACATCATTCCATATATAGTTTTACTGGACACATCATTCCATGTATAGGTGTGCTCCCACTCCTGACACCAGTGGTATCCAGTATGTTTTTAATGTTTTCTAAACATATAAGGTTATAGTGTCCATGTTCACTATATGATTTCCAAATTTTTGCACTCTCTTCAATTTTTCACAATCCCCAAAACTCTGTCTTTTACAAACCCACATTTGTGTTACCTGGCTGGCTCCTGTGAGCATCTGAGTTCCAAACACTTCACTTACAGCAGTATTTCCCCAAAAGTAAGTTCCTTTCTTGATTTTGAGTTGATTATTAACACAAATAGTTAATTATTTTTTGGAATACTACATAATTATAATTGATCTTTTTCCCTGATGACTGCCAGGATACCTGGTCCTCAGTCTTCTCTACTGGCTGCTCCAACATTTAGTACTTTGTCTAAATACTAGTCACTATCCCTTTGAGGATCTAAGTGTTAAGGATGGTGAGTGGTTGCAATAAAAATTACCTATGCTTGTCTGTTTTGAATCATGATTTTGTGGTGCTCCTCTGAAGGTATAGAAGCAGGAAGAGAATAATTTCTGAACTCTGAAACAGCTATGTAACATAGGCCTAGGTTCTATTATTCTCCTATAGTGTAAGATTTCATTTACTTGACAAGCATTTAAAAATGTTGCAAGTGTTGGATTGAAAAAGTGGGATGGTGGGAACCAGCAGTTAGCGTAATGGCTATGTCGCTGGACTCCCACGTAGTCGACCGCGGTTCGTGTCCCGGACCCGGTGGCTTAAAACTCATGCTGGGCACGTGTGCGTGTGTGCCCAAGATCCCGAGAGGAGAATGGAGAAGAAGGGATTGCGGCGTGACCATCCCCCCTGGGGGGTGATTTCTCGCTTTCTGTCTCTATGTCTCTCTCTGTCTGTCTGGCGAGTGCACGCGCCCTACAGTGAAAATCTCTCCAAAAAAAAAAAGTGGGATGGTGAAGGTATTGGAAACCTGGAGAAGAAAGGCATTGCTGTTCAGGGCCAGCTTTATCTATTTACTTAGAATAGGGAAGGCCATCTTAAATGATGCTGGTTCCATTACGCAGTAAATTCTCCTTCTCAGTGGTGTAACCATGGTAGTGTAATAACAACCCTGGTGGGGAACTCTTGAGGTACTTGTTAACATGCAGATTTCTGGGCTGTATGTAGGTGATTCATAGTTCCTCAGGATTCCTACTCAGGTGCAGTAGTCTGGGAACCACAGGTTTAAGCCTTGACCTTGCCACTACAGCACACAATTTTCTTAGACTCTGAGCCATTTTTCCTCATATACAAAATGCTTATGATACCTTCCTTATAATGTTGCTATGAGGATTGAAGGGTAGAAAGGATAGAGCATGCATTCACCTCCCTCTAGACCTGGACAGAGTGGTGCTGAATAAATATCTGTTGAATGAACAAATGAATAATAGTTGAAGAATTAAGAGAACATTCAACTCACACTCAGAGAATTTTTCAGGTTTGTGTGTGTGTGTGTGTGTGTGTGTGTGTGTGTGTGTGTGCGTGTGTGTTTTTCTCTTAGGGCATGTGCACTTGCCAGAGAGAGACAGACAGACAGACACAGTGAGAGGGAAAGTGGAAATTAACCCCTGCAGAGATGGCCATTCCTCAATCCCTTCTCCTCCATTTTCCTCCCTGAATCTTGGGCATGCTTGCACAAGTGCCTTTAAGTGATTTTGAAACCACCAGGTCTGAGACTCGAACCACAATCAGCCATGTGGGAGTCCAGTGACATAACTGCTATGCCATCTGCTGGTCCCGAACTTTTCAGTTTTTAATAGCTCTGACACATAGTAAACACTTTTGGCAACTAGAATCAACACCATCAAACCTTTCCTGAGATGAGGGGACACATTTTCATGAAGATTCCTGGCACTGCAAACCAAACAAGAGTTTTAGAGAAAGTGAGGCACACGTGAGGGTAATTTATAGGTGCCAGTGAAGATTTCAGATAATTTGCAGTGCTTCCTATATGAGTTGAACTATTCTACCTCTTTAGAGGATTCACTAAGATATGCAGTTAGCAAACTTTAGTTCTGGAAGTTAACAGTATTCTCAAAGCCGTTTTATCTTTCTTGAGTAGCTTACATTTCTTTTTGTGAAAACAATGAGAACATAATTATCTTTATTATTGCACTGTTTCTACATCAGAGGTTGGGAATTCGTGCTGGGCATGTTGATATTACAGGAATCAATATAAGATCTGTCTACTGAATTTTTTTTTATGTTCACATTAAAGCAATCATGACTTTTGGGGTCAGCCAGTGACATGGTGGTTAAGGTGGCTGGATTCCATGTGACTGAGAGGTTAGAGCTCTGGATCTAGAGGCTTGAAAAATATGCTGGGCATCTGTGCATGCATGTCCAAAATCCCAGGTGGAGAACAGAGAAGAAGGGATTATGGTGGTGGTGTGGCCACACCGCTTGTGTGTGTGTGTGTGTGTTGGGGGGGGTGATTTCTCACTTTCCTTTTTTTTCTCCGTTTCTCTCCGGTGAGCATGTGCCCTATATCAAAACTAAAAACAAACGAAGTAAAAAGAGTAACAACAACAACAACAACAAAACCCCACTATTGTGATTTTTTCATAAATTAGTCATTTGACATCATGTAACATGCAAATTTAGGAAATGACTTGAACTAAAGTTCTGCTTTCAGAGTTTTACAGGTATGGTTACAGAATAATGCCTGACAGCCCTCAGGGTTTCACACTAGTTCAATTATTATTTTAAGTTTTTGCCATAGGGTGCACTTGCCAGAGAGAGACAGAGACTGAGAGAGAGCAGAGAGAGGGAAAGTGAGAAATCGCTCCCAGAGGCAATAGTCATGACACAAACCCTTCTCCATTCTCCTCCCTGCATTTTGGGTATGCTCGCACACATACCTGGTGTGATTTTCAAGCCCCTAGGAATGGGACTTCCAGCACCTTAACCACTATGCCACCTGTTGGTCCTAAAATATTTTTTAAGCCATGGTTTCTTAAAATGTTACTTATTAAACAAGTGCATGGGCTCTTGTGGGGAATATGTTCTGACAAGTAAACAACGGTGCCCAGGAAACTAACTTTCTGCTGCCCTTTCAAAGCCCCTGCCAACCGGCCACCGGTCAGAGCAGAAGGCAGAAGCTTGCCCTTGCCCGTTCCCAACAAACCTCAGCCACCATCCCCTGGGGAAGAAGAGGTAATGAAGTATACGCTTTTATTTGTATTTGTGTGTTTGTTCTCCCAAAATGAATCAGAAAATTCTGTTGAACACTTTTGTACTTTCATCTTCTACTAGTTTTATTATTTACTTCTTTTAAATTGAGAGGAGCCAGATGAAGAAATATGGTCTTTTTTTTTTTTTCATGATATTCTTTCAGATCATTTCAATGGCAAATGTGTGTTTTGTATTAAATGAGAAAAGTAATCCTATTTTTCATGATTTCTAGCTTAAAACCTTGATAAATCACTTAGCTGCCCCTTAGCCCAGTGTTCTCATTAAGCATGCTATTATACTAACCTGAAAAAAATAATTTTACCTAGATCCTTCTGCTTGGAGTTTGTTACATAAGGAATGCTTATTCGTAGCTACCCTCACAACTAGTGTCAGGATAAAAAGTGGTTCATGCAAAATATTTTCTATTTGGTCCCACTTAAATAATTCTATACTGAAATTAAGAAAACAAATATTTCAGACCTCATGGAATTGAAGTCATGATTTATGGAAATTATCACTTGGAGGTTTTTTCTTTTTACTTAGATATGTAACTGCAAAATTTATTCGGCTTTTTAAAATTTACATTTCAGAATTCATTAAATCAAGAGTGGTACGTGTCTTACATTACCCGACAAGAGGCAGAAGCTGCTCTTAGAAGGATAAACCAGGTATTGTGCTATAGTTTATTTTTAAGTAGTTGTAAATATTAATGGAAGGAAGGGGAAACTGACTTTTATTGAGAACCAGTTATGGGCTAAGAATTCTGCTAGGTGCCATTTCTCCTGCCAGATGCTATTCATAGGAGATCCACTAATGCCAGGATCCAGAGCAAGGATTCCTAGTGCTGGAAATGATTAGGCTGGCAGAAAAGTCTACATTAAGGCAGCTGCTTAGTTGGCAGACTCTTAGGAGATTTCATTAACAAAAAGAGTTCATCTTGTCATAGGAATTAGTACCATAGTGTCAAAAGGAGAGACTAGGGGCTAGCAGGTGACATGGTGGTTAAGGGTGCCGGACTCCTACATGGCTGAGCGTGGTTCAAGTCCTGGACCTGACGGCTTGCTTTCTCACTTTCCCTCTCTCTCTCTCTCTCTCTTTCACTCTGTTCCTCTCTGGTCAAATTAAAAATAAAGAAAGTTCAATAAAATAATTCTAGAAAAAAGGAGAGACTTTCTTGGGCCAGCAGGTGGCATAAGTTAAGGCACTGGATCCCACATGGCTGACTCCACAGTTTGAATTTCCAGATCCATCAGCTTGAGAAATGCACTAGGTGTATGTGCATGCATGCCCAAACTCCTGAGAGGAGAATGGAGAAAAAGGCACTGTGGCATGGCCATCCCCTGGCCGCCCCCCTGTGGGGGGGGGGGCAGTGCTTTCTCACTTTCTCTTTCTCTCTGTCTCTCTCCAGCAAACGCACATGACCCACAGCAAACATTAAAAAGAAAAAAAAGGAGAGACTCTCTTCTAAATTTCTAGCATCTTACCAGTTCTCTCTCTATGTGAGAGAAAGAGTAAGAGAGAAAGAGAAAGAGAGAGAGAAAGGAAAGAAGAGAGGTATCTTTGACCAGGTCTCATTGTGAGCCTCCTGCCCAGCCCCCCATCCAGCCAGGACCACAGGCACACGCCACTGCCCACACCTGCTTTAGGCCGTGCCAGCAATCAAACCCAAAACTCCCATTAAACCCAGGCTCTGCACAGAGGCGCTGCCTTGGTCAGGCCGCACTTTTCTCTTAACACGCAAGTGGGATCCACATTGATGTAAGGGAAGCCGCACTGAAAGGGAAGTAGCAATTTTTTGCCCTTTCTCCCAGGACATTTTAGCTAGTCCTTTAATAATATTATGAGGTCTTAAACAGGTGCCCTGTGGCCCCTTGCTGAACTGGAACTGTAAATCTATCAGAGAGTAGAAAGCAAAGCTCCTTCATCTTTCTCATCTAAATTTGACAGTATTTCTCGACCTTAGTAGCACATTTAAATCACCTAAGGTGTTAATTTTAAAATCCTGATTCCTGGGTCTCACCTAGAGATTCCAATCTAATTAGTCTGAGTGCTATGTGGACTCTGGGGGAGGGGGTTCAAAATTCTAATTTTGAGCCATGGCCGTGAAATCACTGGTCCAGAGATGTGTTTGTTTAACAGTGATGTTCTGACTACCTCAATTAATTTGGTATAAAAAGAACAAAGAAAGGCCATTATTGCAGATTTACGACTATTTAAAGGCCTCCTGATTCAGTACACAAAGGAAGGAGAGGTTTAAATGGGTCCTTACTAATTAATTCTATTTTAACATTTGCTCTTTATGGTGTTAATATTATGAAGCAATAGTATATTGAATAAAAACTAAAATTAAGAACAAATCACAACACTAGTAAATATCAGAAAAAAAGCTTGTTAAAAACACAGATGGGGGGCCTGCAGGTGTCTTGGTGGTTAAGATGCTGGACTCCCACATGGCCAACCACAGTTCAAGTCTTGGACCTGGAAGCTTGCTTTCTTATTTTTCCCTCTCTCTGTCTCTGGTGAGCAGTCATGCCCTATAGCAAATTTTAAAATAATAATAAACAAAATTAATAAACAATTCTAAAAAAAAACACAGATGGTTCACACTCAATTTCACGCAGGTATATGATGTATGAACATACATCGAAAGATCGAAAGATTTTAAAAGGCATAGATTCCTAGGCATTTGGGTGTTTTGGGACTTAGTGTGGAAAGGAAACATTAGGGAATTAAAATTAGGGCTAGGGAGTAGGAAGATAGAACTTCAGTTACCCGTTACATTCCTGATTTTTCATAGCCCTTTATCAACTCAACCATCTACTGTTTGTTTCATTTAAAAAGATTCCTTTTTTCATCAAGAGACTTCAAAGAGGTTGACTTGGAAATTTCTTTGGCACAATCTCTGCTGCCGTTTTTGAAAACAAAAACTAAACAAAACAAAAACAAGCTAAGACGCGTGGTATCTTTAGCTGTTGGGAGAACTGAGTGTTCGTTGACTCATCGGCTGACGGGTTTTGCAAATCCTAGAGTTCCGCCTACTGCTCTTATGGGAAACAGAAGTATTGACTTTTTCTGCCCCCATAGTAACAAGACCTTATCCTTTTAGGATGGCACTTTTCTGGTCAGAGACAGCTCTAAAAAAACAATAACCAATCCGTATGTCCTCATGGTGCTGTACAAAGATAAAGTTTATAACATCCAGATACGTTATCAGGAAGAAAGTCAAGTTTACTTGTTGGGAACTGGACTCCGCGGGAAAGAGGTAAGGACTGCCAGTTTCAAATTTTCCCTAATTTCTTCTTATGTTTCTTTAGGTATCTCCATGGGCCTTACTGTAATGTTCTTTGGGAGCCCATACTGTATAACAACTCCAGAGTTAAACTGCATAGTGAAGCCTTTGATTTTTGAAAAAAAAATAAAGCAAAATATTATCAGTGGCTAAATTTGCTACAGGAGTTTTTCTTCTATCTAATATTCTAAATAATCTAAATTTTTAAAAAAATCGCTTAATGCATTTTCAAAAAACTCAATTAGATGGGTGACACAGGCGAGCCCCTAATGTTCACCTCTGTGCCATGATTTTAATGTGAAATGACAGTGTACTTATATGGCTGCATTTTAAATTGATGCCACTTACAAAAGGGGAACAGCTAGAATATTTGTTGTAGAGAGTATTTCAATACTTTAGCCATTTCTTACTAAAAACAGAGATGTGGCTCTGTAGAGAGGGCCAAATTAACAAAAATATCTTCCTCTATCCAGCCAAGGTTTACATTCCCATGCCGGCACCCTTTGGGTGGCAGTCAGAAATGACCTAAAAGAAACCCTCGAGGTTGTCTTTTGCAAAGGAAATGAACAAACTAAACTTAATGCGGCAAATAGGCTCTTCAAAGTTCAAAGCTCTGGAATGAAACATCTTGAAAGTTGGAACTACTGATCTATAACTTCCATTCATTCCAAATACTTCTAAGTTTTGACGATGTCAATGAGTAGGGGAAAAAACATGATTTTGGTCAAATGTTCGAACGCCTTGTCCCTGTGGCTAGAGCTGCACGGGCTCTGTAGAAATAGGTGTCTGCTCTCCAAGATTTCTCTCGGTCTAGTGTGGAGGCCCCAGCACAGGCCACTCATTGCAGCTGCTCTGGAGGGAGGCAGCAGGGCAGCTGAACCTTGGACAAAGTGCCTCATTCTGATGGTGTACCGGGATGACTTCTGATCCATGTGTAGACAAACGAGGGGGCCCTTTCCCAGTCTGGCCGTCAGGGATAGGGCGAGCCAGGCTATGGGTGCAGACTTGGCTGCCGAGCCCTTGTGAGTGTGGAGATGTCAGCGGGGACAGGGCACAAAGGCCACAAAGGAACTGTTGCGCTGTCCCACCTCCTGACACCATGAATCATGTTCGACCTCCTGATTCCTCACATGTCCTGTGAAACAGGGCTCCAGAAACCCAAACCAGAGAGATGAAAGCAAACCAGAGAGATGACCCCCTGTATGAAGTTAAATATATGTTTGTGCATATGTGTGTGGGGGTGAGGAGTTTTTCAAGGTTCTATTTCAGGCATCCCTAAAATAGTTGCCGAATCTTACATTCCCCCTACCACCTGCAGAACTTGAAGAGGCAAGACGCCACTATGCAGACTTCGAAAACCGGGGGTGAGATTAATGCTCTCCACCCCAATACTGACTTAGCCCCCTCTTTGACTCTTTCAGGACTTTCTGTCTGTGTCAGATATCATTGACTACTTCAGGAAAATGCCACTTCTGCTCATCGATGGGAAGAACCGAGGTTCCAGATACCAGTGCACATTGACGCATGCTGCGGGGTACCTGTAGCCAGCTAGCCAAGCGAATGACCCTTCCTCCTGCCTCTGTTGCCAACTCGGGGAGATCAATCAACTTGGGTAATGGACTTAGGACTGAATCGAACCCCTCAACATGAACAAAATGTCTTGTCCTTTCCTTTAAAAGCAGTGCTTGAAGACTGTCAAATATCCCATAATTTATTTATTCTTCAGTGTTTGTAAAGTGCATGGGTAATAATGTCCACATCTGAAGTCTAGTACTGCACTATAATAATTCATTTTTTTTTAAATGATGTGCATTTTGAGTACCCATTTGAAAGAATGGAAGTTTGCACAGGTACAGAAGTCATTTAAAAATACTGTTAACCATAATTTTTGGTATCACATAAAACTTATATTTAAATAGTCAAACCTTTGGTCAGTCAGAAGCCATCATCAATATGCAGGGCATATTTATATGCAGAATCTGAACATCATTAAAACTCATTTTCTCAGCAATAATAATTTGAGACTATGAAACATTTTACTCTTACTTTATTTGGTGGTGTTTTTCTCAGGGATTTTTGTGTACTTTTTTTAAAATGAAAAGATAAATGCGTGTTGAGACAACTTCCTGGGATTAAAATTGTGTTTCTGCTTTCCCTTTGGGTTTCTAAAACAAGTGTATAGATTTTATTGTTTAGTCTACTCTACTATAGTTCTGCTTTAAAGCAAATGTGAGCTACAAATACCAAGAGGAAACATTTCAGAGATGAGGGTTTGGTGTCTAATACTCTCGGCCTTAACTTGGCACTTTACTTTCCACACCCACACTCATATCGCACTTGCTCTGTCCCCTACCCAACTCCACGCCATTTTCCAGCGATGAACAGTGGCGATACCTTCACTGAAGGTTTCCTGAGAAGGTGGAGCGATGATATGGTGAAACCTTTGAGGAGACATTTCTATTACATACCACTCTTCTCTGCCCCCTCCCACAACTGTCATAAAAGCCCCTTCTGATCCTTCCCAAATACTCTATAAATCCTTTCAAGTAGTTCAACTAGTTTATAAATTTCACTTAGAAATAGTAGTATGTAGCCAGACAAAATCCTAGTATTTAGCAAAACAGTAATTGGCTCTTCAAGTTTTTCCTTTTGGGGGCTTGGTTTTTATTACCTAACTTTTATTAACAACAGAAATTTTTGGCTTCCCTACTTAATAAATTTTCTCTTTTTTTTTTGGAGAGGTTTTTGCTATAGGGCATGTGCGCTCACCAGAGAGACAGAGAGACAGAAAGCGAGAAATCACCTCCTGGGGGGATGGCCACGCCACAATCCCTTCTCCTTCATTCTCCTCTTGGAATCTTAGGCACGCACGCACACGTGCCCGGTGTGAGTTTAAGCTACCAGGTCCGGGACTCAAACTGCATTTGACTACATGGGAGTCCAGTGACATAGCCATTACACTAACTGCTGGCCCCATGGACAACTAGTTTTCATGACTAGCATTCTTTCTTTAGCACTGGCAACTCCATTCTTTTGGCTGGACCTGGCCTGTTTTGACCACTGGCCTTGTGAATGGCCCCAACTACACCAGGTACTCAGGACCATGCTCAGTGAAAAACATCCTGCAGAAACCGACCAGTCAGCCCTCCTCTCCAGAATGGGAGTGCAGAGGCTGAGACAGACCTCCTTGCTCACTGGAATCCCAAAGGCAATGCTTTATACCTGGTGGGGTCTACTGCCCTGCTCCTACCTGCTCCTGTGAAGGAAACTGGTTTTTAACAGGAGAGCTCTAAGCCAACTTTCAGAAATACAACTAATAGACATATTTGATGAATTAGTCCTTAGAATCTAACCATGGACTTCAAGACACGTTGCCCAACAAATGCTTCAGCTAGCAGAAGAGTTCTGATTACCATCAACTCATGCCACCACTGAATAATTTAGTAATTCTCTTTCAACTTGAGCCAAATTCAAGCATAAGGTAAAAGATAAACAGTACTCTCTGGCCAATTTTCTAGATGGTACTCTTATCATTAGTGAAATAAATGAGCCATTTATAAAAACATGAAAACAACAAAGAGGGACCAGCAGGTGGCATAGTGGTTAAGGTGCTGGACCCTGACATGGTTGACCGCAGTTGTAGTCCCAGACCTCACCGTTTGAAAATCACACCAGGTGCATGTGTATGTGTACCTAGAGTCCCAGGAGAATGGAGGAGAAGGGGTTGTAGTGGCCATCCGCCTTTAGGAGGTGATTTCTCACTTTCCCACTGTCTGTCTCTCTCCCGTGAGTACGCACACTATGGCAAAAACCTAAAAAAATAAATAAATAAAAAAAGATTAAAAAAATGAAACAGCCCTTGAGAACATTACTTATTTACAACTCTATATTATCTTTATTTTGCTTCAAATTACATTAAGTATATTAGTAAACTCAATTCTCCCAGATATTTAATTCAACAATAAAAACAGAAATTCACAATAAATGAATCAGAAATCAGGTAGAAAATCTGTTAGGAGCAAGGGGTACATCTGACATTTTAGACTCTTCAGAGAGGGCATTGCATTTTTCTGCTTCCGTTGAGTCCTCTGTCTGCACAGGCCGAGTAAAGTGTAAAGTAAGGTCACAGAGCAGTAGCTGGGAGTGCTCTGTGTCAAACAAAACAACACAGCACATTTTAGCCCACAGGCCAGAAACTATAGCTTCAGGTAGCTATTCCCTGACTCCTAATTAGTTCACGTGACTAGTGGTGAAACTACAATCCAGATGTGCCCCATTTTGACTTAAAATCAGACTTATATACTGCCAAAAAAAAAAAAAAGATGACAGACATTTACGAGAGGTCTCTTTAGCTAGACTAGTCAGGTATCTTACTAAACTGCAACTGATGTAAATTGTATTTATACCCTTTAAACTGATTTTCATCTAAGTTAATACATGTGAAGAGGTCTATGTCATTAAAAAGTAGCAGGTCCCATCCCCCTGAGGCAACCACCTTCAATTTTTTCAGCTGTTTTGTTGCCTTTGTTGTTTTATGTGTCCCTGTTGTTCTTATTTTTATTTTCCTTTGGGGGCAGGGGTGATGGTTACCTCCACATCGCCAAATAACGAGTTCCCACCAACCCCAATTTTTGGTATTTTTTGTTACTGTGTATTTAAGATTAAGATATAGCGCTTTCACTTACCCTACACACCCCCAATATACTTAGAAAATATTAATATTTAATGTTTAAATGTTAATTATATATTCTTCACAGCTGAGTCTGCTAGCTAGCCACCCCTTCCCCACTACAGTTAATAATTTTGTTGTTCATTGCCTAATTTTCAGGAATCTATCTCTAACATCCCCACAGTTGAGTAAAGCTCCTCTTGTCATAACCAACACCTTAGGTATGATTGCTGAAAGTCTCCATCTTGGAGACTTTCATCTGGAGCTGTTAGATTTGCCCTGGTTGAGACTGACTGCTCTCTAGGACCGTTGTACGTATTCGGTAGAAACCACCTCATTCGGTAGATAGCACCTCAGTAACTTCCTGAGAGGGTAAAATGTTTACGTCTGAAAATTTCTGAATACCAATGTTCAATCAGTAAGTTGACTGGCTATAGAAATTTAGGTTAGAAATCATACTCAAGTTCTCATGGGTATCGTTGCATTCTCTTCTAGCTTCTGGTGTCACAAAGAATTCTCATATGATTCTAATTCTTAATGCTTGTTGTTTTCAGAAGTTTCATGAAATTTTTTACTCTCTCATGTCTTAATATAGGTCTATTTTCACCCATTGGGTTGACCTCTTTTATTTTGTAGAGGCTCATATCCTTCAGCTCCAGAAGATTTTTCAATGATTTCTTTCATGAATCTCTCCCAATCCATTGTCCAGGCTCTAACACACTTATTTACCGAGTGTTGGATTTCCTTTAATGATGTTGTAGTCCTCACCCCACCTACACCACTTTCCATCTCCAATTTTTCTTTACATTCTCCACATTTCCACTGTGTGCTTTTGACCCTTCCACAGAGTTTGAAATTTCTGTCATACTTTTCATTTCCAATAGCTCTTCTCTGTTCTCTAAATATGTATTTTTATAGGGACCAGCAGATGGCATAATGGCTATTTCACTGTACTTCCATGTAGTTGACTGTGGTTCGAGTCCTGGACCCAGCAGCTTAAAACTCATGCTGGTTGTGTGTGTGCATGTGTGCCCAAAACCCCAAGAGGAGACTGGGGGAGAAGGGATTGTGGCATGGTCAGCCCCCCTAGAGGGGTGATTTCTCACTTTTTGTTTCTCTGGCAAGTGTACTGGCTGAAAAGAAAACAACAACAACAACAACAAAAAACTCTCTAAAAAATAGTATTTTTGTACTAAAACCTCTCTCTAAAAATAGTATTTTTTACTTCTTTTTCATACAGCATCTTCTCTTACTTCCACATGGATACTAACAGATGTTTTTTCCTGAAGCGTTCATCGCTCCTCATAATTCGTTTCTTCACTGATCAAGCCTGTTTGTGGCTTCATTTCTGCTTTTCCCACTATCAATACATGGGCTCCTTGAGTATTGGCTCTGCCACAGCAGCTTGCTCACACTCAGCTCCAGTGCTATAAACAGATGATCAGAAGCTCTACGCCCGTGGCTGCTAGATTCTGGGGTGGGACAGCAGGGCTGTTTTGTTGAGGGAAACTCTGCTGTCAGTAACTTTTGGTCTCTTCGCTTAGGCTGCTTGGAGGGTATAAATCTGGCTGTTATTGTTTGGTAAGCCACATGAGGAAAGAAGGCTGAGAATTATTTTTTCACTCAACATTTTCTAATGACCTATCCTATCACGGCACCAAGTTAAGTGCTAGGAATGTCTTTAAGAAGTTTAGTGGAGCAGGGCTAAGAAAAGTGAGTAAACACACAATTACAAGATGATGCCATATGAAAGGGTAGAAGGGGTCAAATACTAGCTCAAAAAGTTTTCCAATGTGAGTGACCTCAATACACAGAGGCTAGCCCGATGTGGTGGAGAGAAGTGTGGCAATGAGATTTCAGAAGATGTATGGGTTAAAAGACACAAAAGACATGATGCACGGACATGCAAATAGTAAAATGCGGCTGGAGCAGAGCACTTGCAGAGATTAACAAGAGGCTGGAACAGAACTGTACGCAGGGACTTGATCTCAAGGGCTCATACAGGCCTCCTAGGAGGTTTGGACTTTATCCTGAGGACAGTGGTGAGCAAATCAGGGTTTTCAGCAGATTTGCATTTTAGGAGGAGAAACTTTATTGCAATGTCGAGATTGGTTTTGAGAGATAAGTCAATTGGGTTTCTTTGTATCAGTTTCCTCAGAGCCTTTGTTAATATGCAGTGTTTGTAAGACAAATACATAGCATAAAGCACTCCCTGAACTGATGTGACCACAAGAACAGGCTCTGTTTTGCTGCACAGCATCTATTCGCACCTGTTCAGAGAGCAGGGTTCCCTGATCAAAGTCTAGGAAGAGCTACCTACACAGAACATGTGGGAGTGGATTATTTTGTGCCTAACTAACAGCCACTCCCCTCTTCTTCTTGGTGGCACTTGATTCCATTTGAGGTGCTCCTCTCCCCAGCTCCAGCAGGAAGTCCTGACTGGTCCAAACTGGCCTCGGCAGTCCCATGCCCCTTTGCCACAGCTGCTGTCATCGGCATTCGATGCAGATCTGACCAATGAAAGGAAAGGGGAAATGTGCTAGAGGGATGGGGGGAAATCTATATCAAAAGCCATGGGCAGAGAAGCTGTCTATATATAGCCACCTCTGAAGGTAATGACCATGACAGTGACAGAATGAACAACAGAGGTGAAAGATGGAAAGAAACTTTAAACCTCCAAATTAACTTTAGTACTAGACTACCTTGCATCTTGTTTTTCCTTATTGTGTAAGTCGTTTTAAATGGGTATTCATTACACGAAGCTGAAAGTCTTATAAATGACACATAAACTATCTTCAAACATCCAAGAGTTGTTATAAGAATAACTACATGGACCAGCAGGTGGTGTGGTGGTTAAGGTGCTGGACTCTCACATGGTCAACTGCAGTTCGAGCCCCACACCTGGGGGCTTGCTTTCTCATTTTCCCCCTCTCTCTCTGTCTCTGGTAAGCATATGTGCCCTGTAGCAAATTAAAAAATAATGATGATAAATAAAATAATTCTTAAAAAAAACAAAAAAAGAACGACTACATATTTAGTTGTTATGGTTAGAAACAGGACCGTAAGTGAAAAGAAAAGGAGGATACATTTCAGCTAGTCCATAAGGAGAAGCCATCTAAAATGGGAAGGGCTGACTTGTGAGATAGGGAGCTCCTCAATATAGGAAAGCGTAGTCGGAGATCATTCCTACCAATATTTAATCATGGCCACTTTCCATGCCTGGGATAAAATAACGTCTGAGGTGAATGGCTAAACAGCATGACCTACATGTGACCTGATTCTACTGTACGACCTACTCTAATTCTACTCTGCTTAAAATAGTCAACTCACTGAATCAAACATACCATTTTTCTTTTGGAAGGAATCTTAGGGGCTTAGTAAGGATTCATGGACAAGGGCACGGATTTTACAGAATGTACCATAGTCATGTCTACATGGGAAGGAAGGGCAGTAAATTTAGAGGGTTAGACAAGATGAGCAGGTAAGTGTCGGGGACAGGGATCCGGTCTGCTAACTCCTAGATCGATGTTAGATGAAATCTGTCTCTGGAGCTCCACCTCACAGTGTACTACAAACATTTTTTAAGAAATAGAGAAATCCTAATTAGTGAGCAAAATTCAGTTCCACCCCAGCAGGAGCATGAGTTTGCTCTGCTTACAATTATTATGGCAATAATACGTGACCATTTTAATTTAGTGAGTCTATATTTACCTTTCATCTTCTTCAGCTCCAAAGAAATTGTGTTAATGTTCTTAATTATGGCTTCCACATTCTGCTTATGTTCAGCAACACTGTTAAACATCTGATTTTTCAAAGAGAAACAAAAGCAATTATAAGTCAAAAGTGTTTATGTATACTTTAAAAACACTTAGATTTTCACTATTTCTAAGGGGGAAAATGTCATTTCATGACTGAAATAATAGTGAAATAAGTATTTTATATTACATGAGAAGTCTAACATGGGAAGGAAGTCCATTGGTTATATTTTTCCAACTGCAAACAATTCCAACTGGAGTTCTTAGGATGAGGTTTCTTCTTCAACCCAACCATATTCACAAGATGGGGCCTTTTGTAAAGTTGGAAATGAAGGTGTTCCCTTTCCAGAAAGCCTCAGCACTTACAATTTAACCATCATATACTATCTTCTCTAATTTTGTTTACATAAATAAGTATATTTATTTTTGAATAACAGGATCTACTTTTTTTTTTTTTTTAAGTTTTTGTGATAGGTCACATGTGCTTGCCAAAGAGATGGGAAAGTGAGAAATCACCCCCCAGGGGGGATGGCCACTCCAGGATTCCTTCTCCTCCATTTTCCTCCCTGGATTTCAGGCATGCAAGCACACATGCCCACTGTGATTTTCAAGCCACCAGGTCCAGGACTTGAACCTCAGTCACCCATGTGGGAATCCAGTGCCTTAACCACCATGTCACCTGCTGGAACCCACCTATGATTTAAGTACATCATAACACTGAAAACAGAATTGTCATATAACTTGTTGTCTAAGAGTTGACAAAATAGCCTCTTTAACTTTGGGAGTTAGGGCAACACACATTGTAATTTTGGTTAACTGAAACTATAATTCAATTTGTTACTATGTTATCCATTTGGTTCATGTATTTAACCAATTGTGTCAGATAAAACATACAGAGCCAATTGACTAGAAAATAACCCTAGCCCTTCAAATCTCTCAGAGTGACTTAAAAACATAAACCACAATTAGCACACAGAACTCCAGCAGTGTGAACCGCGGGCGGTTATGGGTCAGGCTGCTTTTACAAAATAATCAGAACACACTAACCTTTTAGTCAATTCCTTGCCTCTAACTTTTCATGAACCAGAGGAATTAATCCTATTTTTGTCACTCAATTCAGAGCCACTAGAAAAGAAATTATTTTCCAGACATCATTTTGTGTTCACCTCCAAGTCCTTATGCTCTAAAAAGGGAATGTCAGCTATCTTATTTGGGTATGCTAAACCAAAAGATTTCGACCTGAGGGTCAAGTGGTGGAATTAAAAAAAAAAAA